ACCAGAGGATTTCAATGGACAATAGAATAGAATAGAAACTCCCTTTATTGTACTACAGTTGGGAAATTGTGGTGTTACAGCAGCTGAAGGTTATAGCAGGAATGGCCAGACAATGCGGACCTTAGAAAGTGTATAAAAATAACAGAATAAGTGAGTTTAAAAAAATAAATAAATAACAAAAGTAATATAAAATGTAAATATATTTTATTATATAAAATATAATAAAAAAAAACAAATAATTACTGTACTGTACAGTGTTTACAATACAACATGTGTGTGTGAATATTTGATGAAACAAGTTTTCTGGCTGTATATGCTGACAGGTTTATTTGCTGGAGGGTTTGTTTTTCTATTAATGATTAGGTGAATTTAGTTAGTTTTGAAACTGGTTTTTGGTTTGGTTGATGTTAACTAGTCTTTTTTGTGTGTCTTTGGTTGATTCATTTATTGTTGTTTGTCAAAAATTGTCTAAAATAAATTTCTATTCATTCATTTATTGATTCATTCGATATAAATGCTTTCTCACCTTCGCCTAACTTTTTTTAAATACACAAGCATTCTGATAACACGCTAATAGGTCTTATCAGGCCAAAATGTCCAGTTAATGTCAACCAATGATGATTTGGTTGAAGGTAAGGCAAGGCAAGTTTATTTATACAGTATAGCACAATTTGTTGCAAAGTCAGTTCAAAGTGCTTTACATGAACTAAATAACTAAATAGAAGGAAAATAAAAGAAGTTTAAAAGCAAATAAAAATTTCGGACCACAACCTTAAACTAATAATACCTCAGTAAACACTTCAACAGTTAAAGGCAGATCTAAACAAATGAGCTTTTAACTGTGACTCAAAACAATGTTCTTGTTTTTTTTTTCAATCTTCAGGTTTACTTGTGGTTCCTAAAATTTCTAAAAGAAGAATGAGAGACATATATTTTAGTTATCAGGCTCCTCTCCTTTGGAAGCAACTACCAGGTTTAGCTTGTGAGGCAGACACCTGGTCTACTTTTAAGGCAAGGCTAAAATGTTCCCTTTTGATAAAACGTATAGTCAGTGTGGCTCAGGTTATCCTGAGCTATCTCTGTAGATATGCTGCTATAGGCTTAGACTGTTGGAGGACCCATTTTTAACCCTTGCTACTTAAATTATCTTCTACTCTCCAAATTTTGCTTTACTTGTTAGTTTAACCTTCATGTTCTGTCTGATTTTTTTTATTGTAGTTTCATCAGGCAAGTATGAAGTACAGTATATACAGACTGCATACAATTACCTCTAAAAATCTGCACTATACATAGACACAAAACTGGTATGTTCCTATGCATGAAGTAAAATTCATCAAAACAGTTTAAACTCAAAATCAACTATTTTCCAATGGCATGACTGAAAATAGAATAGGATAGAATTGAATATGCAAGTTTTAAATTTTTAAATTGTTCCAGTACATAGAATACAACTAATAGGCTGTACAAGAAGTTTTAATGTTTTTTGTCCCAAGTTGGGCGTAACGTAATTACATTAAACTTGTCAAATATCCACAAAACATTTAACTATACAAGGAGATATTGTAAAAAGCACAAGGCACTATTGCTTTCCAGAAAAAAGGTCCAGAATCCCATACATACAGTATATCAATATAAAAGTGACATAAAAGTGATGTATGTGGATTCACACAGAAAAGAGACTGGACATTAAGATAAAACTTTTATTAGAAAAAGATACAATGGAGTACAATTTATTTTTTTCTTAATGCGAAAAATGGTCATGTATATTTTTTAGTGTTGTGCCGATTCCATTTTTTAGCCCTGATACCGATACCTTTTCTGTGCAGTATCAGCTGATACCTTTGCCATACCAATACCATCTGTTTGAAATTGATGTGTGTGTGTATATATGAAGAACTGCATACTACTTGGATGCTAAATAATTGCCATCATGGCTTTGTCAAGCTGCTGCCTACCTTTGTGAAGCAGGAAAAGGACTAATACAAAGTGAATCAAGTAGAACTTATATTGCCTACCTGGAATGCATGACAATAGTTGAATAAACTTTTGGCTCTCAGAATGGCATCAGTGCCCTATTTGTTGGTACTCTCCGATAGTGATACCACCATTTTAGTGCAGTATCTGGGCCCTGATATACGCCAAATGCAATCATACAATACATAGAAAGTAAGATATTTTATTTATTTTATTTCTTTTTTAAACACCCAAATATGACACAGCAAAAGAAGGAGAGGGAATGTATTATTCCTTAAAAACAAAGCAGAGAATGTGTTTGTAAATTCAGTGGAAAGCAGGATGTAAAAACATCAAGAACAGGATACAGTTGGTTTCCTTTTTAACATTACAACCACATCATTAACTAATTTATTACTTAGCATAGCTTATTCATTTCACACACCCTCTCTCACAACACACATGCATGTCACCTAGAAGCTAAAACACTGAATAACGATAACGTAAAAGGAGGCTAGAATTGCAAAAACAACCTTTTACATGGTATATACCTGTTAACACAGACAACTAGGTTAATATGGACCTGTGCAAACTGGGACTTTATATATGTTTTTATATCAAAAGTTATTTCATTTTCACACAACACAGACAGTAAAATGATAATCTATCATTCATTTAAATGCAAGGGAACAGATAGAAACATGTCTGGTCCTCAGTGACCATGAAATTCTAAAAAAAAAATGCAGTTTAAAATTTGGTTATTTTACTTTTGGTTAATTTTTCAATAACAATACCTGTTGATACCTAACCTGTTGATTTAATTATAACAAAACTTATTTGTGGTTTAAAAGCAATGAGAGAAAATTACCGTATTATCTTTTTTTCTCTGATAATAATTCAGAAACTGAGAATAATTTATTTCTTTGTTTACTTTTTGCCAATTTAAAAAAATGTAAAAATATAAATCATAAATAAATTCGCGTTGGCAGAAATATTTTTAATAAATTAAATCTAAGGTAACAGCTTAAACGTTTGAATTTTTTTAATAGGGTAGGCAGAAAGAGTCTGAATATATGGCGACCTCTGGTGATTAATTTGACTCACTACACCAATGGCGGCACCACCAATATTTGCAATTTATAATCGAGTGGCCATTATTCTTAGCCTGACGTAGCCCGAACTCAAACCTTGTGGGCGGGACTAAGTTCTGACTGGCACCCAGGCTACATTATTCTGGGCAAATTAACGGGCTTTTTTCTATAGAAACTAAAAAGAAAATAATTTTTTTTCTGGATCAACAAAAAAATTATCTTTGCATTTTATTCATTCTGTTTTTAGACATCTGGCTGTGTTAAAACAACAGTTTTTTTTTTATTATTTATTTAATTCAGTAATAGAGTGAGAAAAAAAGCTGAAAAGTTTTACAGTGCAAAGTTTTTGTTGCATTTTTTTTATTAATAACAGAATAAAAAAATGTGAAGTTTATTCAAAATAGAAGGACTTTTATCCCTCTACAGACTGTCATTTTAAACCAAACTGCCTAATCAGGCTTAATCCCCTTTCCACAAAATAGACATGAAAAATTGTAAAAGTGTTGAAATGATAATGAAGATGTTAGTTGATATTTTCATCATTTTAGTTCAAACTCTACAGCAGGAGTTTCAGCTGGACGATAGTTTGTGAAAGCTTTTGCTAAATGTGTCAACTGTTCACATTTAGGTTTAAAAATCCTTATACACTTAAACTAGACTTGCAATACAAAGAGCAACACATGAAAAAGTAATACTTGTCTTCAGATGCAATTGTTTTCAATAATAAAAATGATAAAAAATAATAATAACCATTTGATTACTGTTTTCTTCACCTCTGTGTTTTGGAAGGGTAATGCTGGTCAAATGCTGCTGCTAGATCAAACAAAAAATTGTCATCTGCCGCCATGACCAAGTAATAAGTGAATCTGGTATGAGCTCTTTTAATGCTTTTTGCAGACTAAAACTTTTTAAACTAACGGTTAGAAAACATATGGTAATATGATAAAGACGAAGTGCTAATATGAAATAGAAGCTGTGCATTGTTCTTGTAATTAGAGAGGTTTTCGGAGTCACGGTTATTTCAGCAAAGTATTAATGGATTTCTGCACACAATAAAACTGTTCTGGCAATCTTTCATTTTTCATGTCCAAGTAAAAATCACATTTGTTGTATTTCACCTTGGCCTGTACAGATATTTATTATCCTCTCTTCCATCCATCTTCTCCCACTTATTCTGACAGGTCGCTGGTGCCTGGACAGTTCGGCGGCCTATTGCAGGGCAAAATGACTTTACACTAAATTGAGTCATTCACACATTCATGCCCACACTCACACACAAATAGTGGCTGCCCTGTGGTCACTGACAGAAGCAAGGCTGCCATACTCAGGCGGCACCAGGCCCTCTGACCACCATAAGTAGACAATGTGGGTGAAGTGTCTTGCCCAAGGACACAATGACGCTGAAAGCCCAAGTTTAAAGCCACAACCCTTTGGTTTCAGGGGAAATTCCTACATCCAATGCCACCATTGCCCCAATTATTATCTAAACAGTATTTGTAAATTTTCCCCTACATAATTTTAAAGCAGAGCATAACATAGTAATTAATTAAGAAAATAAAACAGTGAAAGAAACAAGCAAAGTTGTTTATAGTTTTATTCAGAAAGATTTCAGCTGCCTATTTCTGAGTTTCTAAGTCTGACTGGGCAATTATATAGCCTGTTCGGTTAACACTTCAATTAGTTCTTTGCTGAAATTTGCACCTCAGTTGAATAAATAAAAATGTCAAGCATATTACAATTGAAGTTATCACAATTGTGTAATTCATTTAACAATAACATCATCTTTTTTTCGAAAAGTTACTTTTTACAAAAATAATGAGGGGCTTAAAGAAAATCAGATAGTTAAATATTTCAATGGTTCTTTAATCTTTTTCACTGAGCATTGCCCCTGTCTCCAGATTGTAACCACTCCAATCCTGGAGGTGGCGCTGTGGTACCACTCACCCAGATTTTCTGACCAATCAGCGCGCTCCTGAAGTTTGAAGAAATAGCGGTTGTCTGACTATTTGATGGACGAAGTCAAATGGTTCTAAGTCGTTAATGTCCGTTTCTAGCTGATTTTCGCTTTATATCATGGCGTCATTTAAACCGCGAATTCTAAAGACCTATGGTAAACAGAAGCGGAAGGTTTCCGCTTGGCTTTCCCCCGAGGACCGAAGGAAATTTTTCGACAGCACCCCGTCGTCCGAAGACATATCCGTGTTTCAGGCCGCAGAGCCGAGCAAGCCACGGTGCGTTCAGGGCCTCACCTCTACTGTTTACGTTTGCTTGATTAATTTTATTTTCCAAACTGATATGGTTGTTTCTCACAAAGTACAGCAGAGCAGTGCTAAAGAGTTTGCATTGACTTTACTTAGATGTATCTTAGTTTATAATATGGTTGATGTAAATGTGAACTTCAGTCCGTTCGGTTCAGATGCTTCTTATAACGTTAATGTAAGGGTGCCCAAAATACCGTTTTATTTTTTTAAGCTCTTACTCAAAAGCTTTGTTGCATTCTCTTTTCTTTCATGATTATTAGGACCCCATCTTTCTGGTCGCTTTCCCTAAAAACAAACGTGTCTTCACCCAACTGTACTTTTGATTAATTTATTAAACTTTGCCAAATTCAGCGGCCTTTTTTTTTTATGAAAGACTGAGCCACATTATGTTTATATAATGAAGATAGACTAAATTGGTTATATTTTTTTCTGCATCAGATCATTTAGAATAGCACTGATTAATCAGATGGCTTGATTCGTCTAATTTTAATATCACATGCGTTGAACTGTTGAGCAGATTCAATGAAAAAAAAATGCTTTGTATTATGTAATATGAGTTTAAAAGTAGATGAAATTATTTTTTGTCCGCCTTTTTTATGATCTTGACTCATTGAAACATTTGAACTAGGAATGAAACAGTTTATAAGATTAATTGTGATTAATCATCCTGGAGAGAAATATGCCATCAACACCCTAGTTTCTAGATGTTGGAGATCGGTCTGTTTTTCAGTGTAGTCCTGTTTCTCTGACTGTAACTGGCTGGATGTGCTCTCCTCATCCTCTGACATGGGAGTTGCCTCGGAGCTCATCTGCCTGGCTGTGTGTTTCCTGGACGGGCCTGCCTTTTACAGCTGCTTTTTGTATCTCTGCTTCTGTCTCCTTGAACCCCAGTCAGCCTCAGCAGATGGCCGCTCACACTGAGCCTGGTTCTGCTTAAAGTTTCTTCCGGTTAAAAGGGAGTTTTTCCTCTCCACTGTCGCTACAAGCATGCTTAGTGTGAGGGACTGCATCTGAGTCAATGCAATCAACTGGTTTTCCTTAGATAGGAAACTTTGAATCAATTTGACTGTATGATCTGGTGAACTGTAAAGTGCCTTGAGATGACATGTGTTGTGAATTGGCGCTATAGAAATAAACTGAATTGAATTAAATGAATCGATTATTGAAATAATCTTCAACTAATTAAGTAATTGATAACTGGAATATAGAGACTGTAAAATATGCCTTTAGCTCACAGAAAAACACACTAGAAGCTGTAATTTTATCGAAATTGTAAAAGGATATATTTTGCATTTAAGATGGAAATAAAGTTTTCGTCTGTTAACGTGCTTTATCCAGAACCCCTCAAGTGGAAAACTTTTAGTTTCACTGGGTTGAATTTCGTAAAAAATCTTCTTTAAGGAACCCGTGGCTATCCGATAATTGAATTATTAACAGATTAATCGATTTGTAAAATGATCGTTAGTTGCAGCCTTAATTTGAACAACCCTGGTTTAGACCGTAAATATGTAACCTATAGTACGTTTCATGTTTCCTAAAATGATCCCAATATCAATTTTATCCAGGTTCCTTAAAGTGTTGCCTCTGAAGGCATTTTTGAACTTAGTATTCTATATTGTTTTGCTCTTTTGTCCCTCCAAATCCATCGCACTGCACCATGTTTATTGAATGTAAAAAGAGTTGTTTCAGCTTGTTAGATCAGAAGCGTCTGGCATGGTTTGCTGACATCTGTACGTTGCTCTTAAAGTCATCACGTAATTTAGCCCAGGTCTGGTGTTCCCACAGCATGCCGGTTAGAGCCGAGGCGACTTTAACACGGGTTGCTTGCCGGGGCATTTGACCCGGTTAGACACGCATCAGTGAGCTGTTCACACTGCCACTAAAAGCCGATTGTTCCTGGGTTTAATCAGATTTTTCAGCCAGTGGGAAAGGGGTAGAGTAGAGAGCTGTGGATTTTAACATTCAGAATCATTGTGGGCAGATATGAGATCTCGTGTGGATTCAGATTGCAATTTATTATTTTAAATGATTAATCGTGTAGCCCTAATGTGTATTCTACTTATTCAATCATTTAAAGCTTTTTTTCACTGACAAACGCCAACTTCTTCAAAACTTTCTGTGTTTTGCAACATTTCAGGGAAAAGTGCACAAAAGTTGGCAGGCGAAGACCACAAGGTTCCACCAGGAAAACAACAACCATGCAGAGTCTGATTGAGAAGATCTGTGATGAGGAATATCTGAGTGATGCCGAAAACTGTGTCCCCTCTCCTCTCGGCCCTCTGCAAAGCAAGAAAAAAGGGTGTGTGAGGAAAAAATTATCAAAATCATTTTAAACTGTCTCTTTGTTATCCTTTACTGTGTCCCAGAAAACTATTCAAACCCATGAAATACACCCTATTGTTTCCCCTTACATCTGCAAATGTCATTATAACTTATTTATATGTTTTTAAAAGTATTTGTTGACATTGCTGATATGTTTCCATCTTGTTCCATAGAGGAAAGAATAGAAGTTTGGCCAGAAGAAAGCAGAGAGCGGTTCTGTGTCCTGTAGAGACCCGCAGCAACGAGGATAACTGCATGAGACAGCTCTCATCAACAAAAAAGCGTAAAGCCAGGTGTGTGCTTAAACATAGACCTCTTCTTGTTTTTCAAACATTTTGTGCAAGCATTTTTTTTAACCAATTGGAGCATCTCCACCTCATTTTCATTGACCTCTAAAAAAATAAATCTAAAATAAATCTGCTCTTTATCAGGATAAGCCGTCAAGCGTCTGCATCTGTTTCCACAAGGCGGAGAGGTAACACCAGTGAGAGTGAGGAAGAAACTGCTACAACCAAATTACAAAAAGTACAAGAAAAATCTACAGTCGAATCCAAGTAAGGGCTCAGTCAGGTGATCCCTGACTAAGGTTATAAAGCCATGCAACAAATGCTATCTTTGCTTCTGATTTTACTTTCTTTTCTTTTTTTTAGTGTTTGCCTTCGCTCCGCTGGCCGCTATGTGACCCGCCGGAGACGTGGAGCTACCACCAAACCCCCTGATGCAATAGTCGGTTTACTCAACTCCTCAGATGACTTCACTTCTGGCCCGTTTGGTTCCAGCATGTATCAGAAGCCAACCAGGAGGAAGAGAGCCCCTCCAGTCTTCAAGTTGTCAAGTGATGAAAGCTCAGTAAACCCTGGGAGGACCAACAACCTTTTCAGGGAGATCTCCCTCAATGAGTTAGCTGAACACAGCCTGGGGCCAGTTCAAAGCAGACCTATCTTCTGCTCCACGCCCTCAGCGCCCACCTTCAACCAGCAAAGATGCCCAAAACTCCGCAGGCAGGTTGTGTCTCCTCTATCTGAACTGGGCAGCTCCATCAGGACACCGAGCGCTCTGCAGAAAGACCAGGATTCACTGCCAAAGCTAGAATCTCCTCACGTGGAGCAGAAAGAATCGAGTCTGCATCAAAATGAAGAGATGTCTTTGGACTTATTTGATGAGTCAGACAGAGGAGTTGGCAGCGCCTATGACAAACCCCGCAGCGTAGACACGGAGGGTCGGAAATCATCAGATTTAAATCTGCTCTGCACAGTTCAGATTAAGAGGGTAAACAGCTCTCATATGCCTCAGCTTAGCAGTCAGACAACCTACTTATCCTGTTTGGAGTCATCTGTTTCAGAGAATAAACAAGCGATCACACCCAGAGAATGGACTTCCGCCGTTGGATTTTATCCAGAACAATCTGCTGGTCGAGGTGTCATGGCTACGGAAAAAACTGGCAATTATGCGCCTTCTGTTAGAAATCTAGCTGCGTCTGCTTCAGCGAGCCACGGTCACATGACTCCTGAATCGCCAGAACTCTTCAGCAGGGAAGCAAACATGGAGCACTCTGAATCTTTGATTTATGTGGACGACACTCAAGACAGCGACGAGAAGATAGCGGAAAGGCAGTTATCAGCTAGTAGTGCAGTGGCAACGCAGTTAACTGATGGAGAGAGCGAAACAGAAAAGCGCTTAAAAAGCAAATGTATAAAGAAATGCTTGGTTCTGGTGAAGAGTCTTCGGTTGTCTGAATTGAAGCTCCAGCAGCAAGAGGATGGTGTGATCTGTTCTGCTAACCCACATGAACAAACAGAAGGGGCGGTTCTTCTCTCAGAGTCTGAAAACCTTCCAGAAGCTAAAGCGGAGTTGCATACTTTAGAGGAGGTTGCTGCACTGGCAACGGAGCTGAAGGAGAAAGCTTTGACCTCCAGAGCTGTTATTAAAGTAAAAAAACTAACCCGGTCAGAGTTGACAGATATTCTGCTGCCAAAAGGAGACGCAAATAAATCCTCAACCACTGTGTCGGACTCATCCAACGATAACCGCAGGAAGACCTGTTCTCCCTCTGACAGCAAGTGCAGTGAAGACACTGCATCTTTGAAAGTTGCCTCAGAAAGCAGCAGCTCTGACAAAGAAGTAGAAAAAGTCACCAAGTCTTTCCCCAAGAGAGATAAGAAGTGTCTGGTTCCCAAAGAGAAGAGGCGGAGGAGCCCGTCAGCGGACAGTAGTGGGACGACAAGGAAGGCGTGCGTGAGCGGACTGAGCGTGAGCCGCTGGAAGAACAAAGGAGGTGCCAGCACGCTGGCGTCCAGGAACAAGCAGGGGAGGGCGTTCAGTGCAGCCGTGGACAACAGCATCAACGAGCTGATCTCGAAGCATCGCAACCATTCCAATGTGAGACCCACACACACTCAGAGTCAGATTATTGGGACTTTATATGACAGAGCTATTTCAGTTGATAATGAACAGGAAGAAAACTATATTTTCTTTTTTTTTTCTTTTTTTTTTTTTTTTTTTTTTTTTCTTTTTTTCATGCCTGGAAGATGTCTATTGCTACTACCACAGATGATCTCGCTCTCGAAATGAATTTGAACGATTCAGATTAGCTAGCCGAATTAATAGAAGGGGTAGAGCGTAGCCGCCTGTTGTCCGGGCTGCGTGTCACAACTCCAGTCCGGCGTGCAGATGACGTCATACGTCGTAGGCGGTTATATAAAAAATATAATTGTTATGAATGCTGGCGTACCATAAAGAATACATTTTGAACAGTTTAGTTTGTGCCTTCAAGTCGTTGCCCATAGGAAGACTAGGAAGACGTTACTTGGTTATTACAAAACCGAATATCTGCAGAACAGCTCCAAATGACACGAAAATTATATGGGTGAGTAGAGCATGATGTAATAACGTAAAATCAAGGGGCCAATGTAAAAATAAAACTGTATTCCCCTTTAAGTTAGTGTTTTTCTGTTTTGTTTTGTTTTTTTCTCAGATTGTCCTTTACAGGCCACAGTTCTATCATTAAACCTCCACTGCACATTAGTTTGTGTTGTTCTGTCATAGAATCGTTGTATGTTAGCAGCATGAGAAAGTTCAAGAGGTGTGAATACTTTAGCTATTTAGTGTAGCTGTTGGATTGGATTTTTGAAATGTTTTAGATAAGAGCAAAAAGGTTATTTAAAAAATAGTTTATTTTGGTAAAAAACAAAGTTTAATGTCTTCCTTTTATGTTTTTGTCCTTCATTTAGCCATGTCCCATTGAGTTCTTGACATCAACAGGGCATTTAGTAATCGATAAATCGTTTATAGACTCTAAAACATGCCTTTATGTGACAGAACAACCCGCTTAGAGCAGGAATTGTAAGAGAACTGTAAAACTATATATTAATATTTTGTGTTTAAGATAAAAAAAAAAAAGAAAAGAAAAACAATTTCCTCTGTCAATTTGCGCTATCCAGAACTCCACAAGTGGAAAAGTTTTAGTTTGACCTTTTGATATTTGATTATTAATTGATTAGTCGAAAAAAATAATCAATAGATCAATTGATTAACAAAATAATCGTTAGTTGCAGCCTTAATCACCAAACAAGCAGGAGTGAGACCTTTATCAACACCCCAGATGTAGCAGGATTTCATCTGTTACCCACCGTGTGTGCAGGACTATCTTGGAGCTGCGATTAATTTCTCCACTCCACTGAGGACAAGTCGGCTCAACCTATCATCCCTGCTGGCTGATCTAACACCCAGAACGCACACCTGGAGCCGGCTCAAAGCTGCCCTCTCTGTGCATCGCAAGGGCATCTGTAATAATATTGCGTTAAGTTGTGTAAAGTCTGAATCCAGATTCCACTGAGATCTTCTGACCCAGTTTCTCTTCCTGTCTCTAGTACAACTCACTCCGAGTCATTTGGATAAGTCGGTGACTTGCACTCCCAGAAGATTTGGTTTATCAGACGTCAGACAGGGCCTGCTTTCCTCTCCAGGATGTTCTCCTCTCCTCAGATGCCTGAAGTCCCAGCTGGGGAGCCCACATTCCCTGGTAAGACATGCACTAAACACAGCTACACATGACGGGCTTGAATATTTTAACCCTTTACTTTCTGCTTTTTAAGGCTGTTGGTGAAGATTTTGATCTGACAGATGCACAAAAGGTGTACGCAGAGTGTGGCCAGTCAGGTCCTTTGCCATGGGAAGAGTGCATTCTCCCCAGTCGTATGAAACGGTGTGTGAAGATCGGAGAGGGAACTTTTGGGGAGGTGTTCTCTACCACCAATGCTGCAGGAGACATGGTGGCACTTAAAGTATGTGGATTCCTATCTATGCTTACCATGATTTCTGTGTGAAAATGTTATCTACAGCCTCCCTCAGACTCTTATTTCAATGTTTCCAGATCTACATTACTATCGATAAAACGGAATAGAAAAGTATCAGCTTTTCCAGACTTTATTCTCCCTGTTTAACGTGTTGTCCTTTCGTATGCTAGCAAAACTGTCCATCTGCTTCTCAATCTGTCATTACATATTTTATTTGTATACTCCATCCTTGTTTATTAGGACTGAAATATTTGGATTAATTGTGATTAATTGATTATTTAAATAATTGTCAACTAATTTAGTAATCAGTTAATCCTTAACTGGAGTATAGAGACTCTAAAACATGCTTTAGCTGACAGAGTGACACAATTAGAGCAGTAGCCATCTACCTAACATTCAATCTCTGCAAACATCTGTTTCTCCATCCCAACATCCACCTGTGTTTAGAAAAGCCCAGGCTTTGGACGGAAAAGTATGTAGGATTGCAGCATTTACAAAACCTACTTTGTTTGTTAAATCAGACGTTTGACCTTAAATGGCTGAATAATTTTAGGCATCAAACTGCAATGAGAAGTCAACCATCTGAATATCTGCATGTACTCTGATGCATGTTGGTGTCTGAATGAGGAAGAAATGCTTCAGAGAAATGATCAATGAACCCCATCGGTGCTGTTTTCAGATTATTCCAGTAGAGGGCAGTGAGAAGGTGAATGGAGAGGACCAGAAGACCTTTGGAGAAATTCTCCATGAGATCATTATCTCCAAGTGAGTGATGTTCCAGGCACACACTGTTAGGAGGTCTGAAATACTGATTAGAATCAGAAGAATTTGAAAGTGCTGCAGTGTTGTCCTGCTGAGCAGAGGAAATGTTTTGTTTTTGTTCTTTCAAAGGGAGCTTAGCAGCCTGAAAGAGAAGCAGCAGAACCAGACTCATGGCTTTATTGGACTTAATGAGTAGGTTTATTTCTTTGGTGTTGTTTTTTTCAGTTTCAAAGTTCTCTTCTGTGTTGATCTAACTCCATGTGTGTTTTATTAACAGTCTTCACTGCGTTCAAGGCTGCTATCCACTGGATTTCCTGAGAGCATGGGATGGATTTGACCAGCTAAAAGGATCTGAGAATGACCGACCCGGTATTTATAAATACTGATATACATATACACTGAAGAAAATAAGTATTTGAACACCTTGCTACTTTGGAAGTTCTTCCATTTCGAAATCATGGAGGGGTCCGAAATTGTTACCGTAGGTGCATGTCCACTGTGAGAGACAGAGACAGATATCACAATGTATGACTTTTTTTTTTACTATTTATTTGTTTGATACAGCAGCAAATAACAGGGTTTCCGCGGGTCATTAAAAATCATTACCGTATGCATTACGTCGTGCATGCATTGATGTATTGTGCATTAATGTATTGTGTATTTAAATTGTTTTTTTTTTTTTTTTGAGTTTTTTTAGTTCCTCTTTGGTCAAAATCTGGTCAAAACCCATCAATGAGATCGCACCAAACAGGAAGTTAAATGCACAAAGGATCCGGTAGATTTCCAAATAAAACACGTCCGAGCTTAACCCATGATCATTTTGTCAACATAAGTTTCTGCCGTATGCCACGACGTAATGCATTGATCTGAAAATCAACCTCAGACGCAACACACGCAGTGGCGAGGGTTTGATCCGTCAGATGGAGTTAAATCACAAAGAATTCAATGTTGAATCGGGGCGGCAGCTAAATGCTAGGCGATGGGTAGCAGCCAAAACGTTGCAATTTCACATAATCCTGATGAGATCCGAAAAACGCAGCAAAAACTAGCAAGCGGGTGATTATGTATGTTCACTAAGTAAATATTATGTAAATAAGCCCTACACTTCTCGCTATAAATGTGATCAAAACCCATTTAAATGCAGAAACTGATTGAAATTATTGATTTTCCCACTAAAAGTTAGAGAAATCTCGGCCATGTTTATACCAAAACGTTACAGTTTCACATTATCTTGAAAAATCTTTGCAAGAAACGAACAAGCAAGTGAATATGTACATTCCCTGAGTAAATATTCTGGCAACAAACTATACATTTCTCACTAGAAATGTAATCAAAACTCATTTTAATGCAAAAACAAACTCAAGTTATTAATCTTTCCACAAAAAAAATGAGCGAATGTTGGCCATATATATATATTTTTTCCGTCTCCCAGCTGGAATCTTGAAAGTCACGTGACTAGGATGTAAAACAATAGAAAGCGTATAGTCAGAAGAAATGTAACAGTACCACAAAAAAATGACCATTAATGTACCTCCACTACGTTTTGCAGTGTGGACCAACGTAGTGGGGGTACATTTTCCCATGAGACTGGTTTGCGCAAAGCTGTATGTTCAGAAAAGAAGCTTATGTCGGAGAAAAAGCTAGAGAATGGGGGGAAAAAACAAATTTCAACAAAAGTGGTTGGAAAACGAGGAATGCGGGACCTGGCTGCAGCCTGTCGACGGGTACCTGATGGTGGCATTAAAATTATTTCTAAGAGCATTAAAAAGCATTACATTTGAGTTATTCATTCCTGTATAAACCCTGAATAACCATTTGAACACCTGCCACACCAGAACCTTGGTTTGCTGCTTCCAGAGCCACTCCTTGGTTATCCTGGCTGTGTGCTTCGGGTCATTGTCATGTCATCCTCTCCCTAATACAGTGCAGTCACTCTGTCCCATGTGCAAAAAACACCCCCAAAGCATGTTACCACCCCTATGCTTCACAGTAGGGATGGTGTTCTTGGGATGGTACGCATCATCATTCTTCTTCCTCCAAACACAGTTAGTGGAATTATGACTAAAAAGTTCTGTTTTGGCCTCATCTGACCAAATGACTTTCTCCCATGACTCCTCTGGATTATCTAAATGGTTATTGGCAAACTTAAGACGGCATTGACATGTGATGGATTAAGCAGTGGAACCTTCTGTGCCATGCATGATTTCAAACCAAACGCCTTAGTGTATTACCAACAGTACCCATGGAAACTGTGGTCCCAGCTCCTTTCAGGTCATTGACCAGCTCCTCCCATGTAGTTCTGGGCTTATTTCTCGCTTTTCATAGGATCATTGAGACCCCACAAGGTGAGATCTTGCATGGAGGCACAGTCTGAGGGAGATCGACAGTCATGTTTAGCTTCTACCATTTTCCAGATTGCTCCAACAGTTGACCTTTTCTCACCGAGCTGCTTGGTAATTTCCGCATAACTCTCTCCAGCCTTATGGAGGTCTAGACTTTTGTCTCTAGTGTCTTTGGAAAGCTGTTTGGTCTTGTCCATGTTCTCAGTTAGTGTGTTCAGTTAGAATTCTGAGATTGGTGTCAGAATTCTGGCTTTTTTCTCATATTAAACTCAAAAATCTCTTAACTTGAAAAAAATTTTCAGTGGCCCTAATCCAATTTCAGACCCCTCCATCTAAGTGGGAGAACTTGCAAATTAGCTGGGTGTTCAAATACTTCTTTTCTTCACTCTATATTGAGATTTCAGATTGTGTTGTTGATGAACTGTGAGGTTAAATTTCCACCTACTTTGTTTCATTTTAAAGGACTTTGAAACAATTTTAAGACCACTATTTGTTTTCATGTTTGTTTCATAAAGTCTCTTTTCACTCTGCCCAGATTTCTTTGAGAAAGACCAGTTATTCATAATCCTTGAGTTCGAGTTTGGAGGAACTGACTTGGAGAACAGCAATGGAACAGTAAGTCCAGAAGATCCATTCAGATATTTGAAACAAACGTTTTCATATAGGGGTCCTGTATGTCTTTGATGGCTCTCTGCTCCATCAGAGAATAATAAAATCGCTGAATTAGTGAGTCGATATGAAATTAAGAGTCATTTGAGTTGGGTGGAAGAATCAGGGGAAATCCTGAAGGACAGTAACTGCTTTGCTTCCTCAAATGTGACATGATTGCTTGACATGGTTTAAAGACATCTCTTCTTGTGCTTAGTTGGCGTCCCTGGCGGTGGCGAAGAGCGTCCTACATCAGGTCACTGCTGCTTTGGCTGTTGCAGAGCAGGAGCTGCATTTCGAACACAGGTGCAGTAGAAACAGATTTATCTCTGAAGTTGCTCCAGAGCCTGAGCTGATCTGACTTTTCCTGACCCGTGTCTATTCTTCAGCACTGACCGACTTAATAATCTTTTTTTTTTTTTTTTTTTTTTTTGTAGAAAATGAAACAAAATATAGGGGCAGCAGTTTTAAATTAAGCATGTAATGGGGGAGTTTAATGATTATTCAATGTATAGATCAAGGTGAAGTGTCCTTGCTTTTTGTCTCATTATTTCAAAACAAATTAAGCCAAAGTACCTGGTTTGATGTCTTTGTTCTCAGATCTGATATATTAATTTCTTTGTCCCTCTGATCCCCTGCCAGTGTTGATCAAAGGAAAACTGTTAATTTCAAATTTCTAAACAAATCTCTAGTATTAACTTTTATTGTTAAACTGTTGATGTCGCATAACCTCAACATGTTGAATTGATAAACCAGTTCTAAATGTGTATTGTAGGGACCTCCACTGGGGAAATGTGCTGGTGAAAACAACCAGAGAGAAGATGGGGAGCTTTTTCCTCAATGGAACCTCCCACAGCTTGGAGACCAAAGGGGTGCTGGTCCGCATCATCGACTATTCCCTCTCTAGGCTAGAAATTGGCAAGTTCTAATATTTTCAAATCCCACTGCTGTTATATTGCATACAGGTCTTGTAACGCTCACCCTGCATGGCTTAGCATAACCAATAGAAGGTGTTTTTCCCCTCTAGATGATCTGACCGTGTCCTGTGACATCTCAGACGATGAGGAGCTCTTCATGGGGCAGGGGGACTACCAGTTCGAAATCTACAGGCTGATGAGAGCAGAAAATGGGTCAGTGGCACTTCAGTCATCACTGGGTTGTGTAAATGTTGTTTTGTAGAGACTATGGAGGCTCCATGAATCCCATCAGATGTGTGTGCGTGCTCAGCAATGCGTGGAAAACTGTTCACCCATCTTCATAGGTTTTTTTGCCATGTTTTGCCACAGTTTAGGGTTTTCAGAACATCAAAAAGATTAGAATGTTGATCAAAAAGACACAAGTAAGCCAAAAAATATCTAAATATCTATGGCTCTGTGTGATTGAGGGAAAATTCAGGGAAAAAAATGAGAAAGTAATTGAGTTCTGTCATTTTGTAGAGGGTTAGAAAAGCATTTCTAAAGCTTTGGGACTCCAGTGAAACAGTGTCCACAAAATGAGAAAACACTGGAGCTGTAGTGAGCCCACCCAGGAGGGGAGGCCAATTCGACTCCAAGGGCGCAGTGACAACTCATCCAAGGATTTCTGCTGCTTTTTCTAAAGAATTAGAGGATATAAATTATGCTCTCTATGTTAATTAATTAACATAGAGAGTCAATCTTCATTTCTGCATTGAAGTTACCAGCTTGTTGTTATGCTAGTCTGTGCTGAGAGTCAACAGTTGGAGACCATTTATCTGACTGTTTGCTATTGTTCTGTTTGAGTTATATCACTTGATAAAACTTTTAACATTCCACATTTTAAAACACCTAATGAAAGAATCTATTATCAATAGGGGTATTGATTATTACATTTATTTATTTGTCAGGGACAGTACAGATTTATGAACATTTCTGTAAGTGTCAGTATTAGCTATGAGGCTAGTTTTCAACTGTCGTCCCTGGGCAAGGTGTACAATGTCAAAGACAATTACACAAAAATATGATAAAACCCAAATAGACCATTTAAACATACTTACAAGGGAAGGTCATACAGTTCAGAGACATTAGCGTAAATATGTACAGATATTTACAACGTAATACTCAATCCTGAAATTTGGCTGAGTCATTCACCAGAAGATCGGTAAGGTCTAATGAACACATTGTTGATTTGATTTTAACCAGATTTTTAACTGAGTTCTGAATGTGTTAAAAGTGGAGGATTCTCTGATGGTGAGAGGGATGCTGTTACAAATGTTGCAGCCTAGGGCAGGACACCCCTAGTTAAAGTTGATGTCTCTACTGTTCGAATGAGACGGGGCTAAAATGACCTGCATGACTGCTGGTAGCATGAGGGGACACCCGGGTCCTACAGAGGTTAGACTGGCTGTCAGCTTCAGTATAATGCTGGGACTACAAATGCATTGAGCAGATTCCAGACAGGCAGCAGAAGGCAGAGGCCCCTAACGCACCAGCAGGACTGATATCTGGTCCTTTGTGCATCCATTGCACTGCCTCCACGTTTTTCAGTATGATTCGGTGGGTTCAGCGTTGGACTGGGAATTCACAGCAGAGTGGAGCTGATCCGACTCCCAGAATCTTCAACTTTACCGCTAATCCACAGCTGTATGTCTTGTGGAGATGATCCCAGACCTGCTTATCAGAACTGTTTAGAGAATTGAAAACTGAGGCTGACATTAAGCGTCTGTGACCCCTCTGAAACTTATGGGCCATGTTTTAATGACCAGAAACCTGCAAAACAAAAGAACAGTCAAAAAGAATCTTTAAAAGCAAAAGATCACTGATTTCTATACCTACATGTATAGAGAAACATAACTATGATTGTACTTGTTCCAGGTAGTTCAGTCAAACTTGTTTGTCACCTTTAAGGCACCATTTATGACCAAAACTAGGCCATCTCTAAGGACTCAACTCTAGATGGTACCTTGATGTGCAAAAGAAACAGGAACTTTTCATCTCAGTGATAATCTGAAGAGTTGCTTTATTGATCCTGATTTACTTTTTTTCTTTCTATAGAAACGAGTGGAGCAGCTACCACCCTCACACCAACGTGCTGTGGCTGCACTACCTGTGCTCCAAACTGCTTTCCATGAAGTACAAAACTGCAAGAGGGAAGGGCATCAAGACTGTACGAGAGGAACTGAAACATTTCTCTGAAAGCGTCCTGATGTACACCTCGGCCACAGACGTCCTGCAGAACTGTCCCATTTTTCAGTAGTGTTCCGATAATAACTCTTTATTGGAAAATCTTTTCACTAATTCCTACATTGTGTTAAATAAAAATAAGCCTGATCAGTTTTTACTCTGTGCTTTTAATGTTGAATTAATTTCCTGTCGCTTAGCAACAACTTTTTGATAGTTTCATTTGGTGCCTCCTTATTTGGCATCATTGGGCCTCTGCAGGTTTAATGCATCGCCTCAGGCTCTAGACTGGTGATTATTTTCCCAGATTTAATGAAGTAGCTCATATGATGCATAGATGAATCATTGGTTAATTACTTAGTGACAGCAAATAGTCACGAGGCGAGTAACTAATATTCATAGCAAATTAATCTGGGAGGGGCTGCTGTGAGTGACACGGTCTGGCGCTGATTTATAGAAGCATGGTCCCTGAGGGCAATGGGGGCAAAGCTTAATATCTTTAAACTTCTCTTTTGTCTGGTAGGAAACTGCACTTTCAAGATTTACTTTGATTTAAATGTCCATCCATCTAATAAAAATTGATATCGAAAAGGAGAAAGCTACCATTAGCTGTTCAAAGCCCCACAATGAATAAGGTGCACATCTGTTTTAGTTAGGATGTGGAGCAGCCTGGATTCTGAACTAAAGTGTATGTGTTTATAAATTTAATAAACTATAAGAAAAAAAAGTGTGAATGTTACAACAGAAATTAGGAAAAATCTGTCAACATATTTAAAAAACTGGTTATTTTTGTATAGTAAGTTAGTAATCAATCTGGCTAGGAACAGCAGCTGCTTTTTCTTTTAAAAAGAAAAAAACAGACGGTAAAAGATGTTTTTTTTTTTTTATTCCTTTTCCATTTATGTTCATTGGAAAAAAAAAATTGTTCTCAAAATAAACATATCGTGACAAACAAAACTTTAAAAATGCACTTCATTCTTTGACTTTAAACTGTCAGGCAGAACTTTTTTTTCTTTTATATATAGAAATCTACAAATCTATTCTTATGACAAGGGAAGATATCGGCAATCTTTTCCCAACTTTTAACCTTAAAGAAATACGTACAATTGCACTGACCAATCAGTTTAAGCTGTAAAGAGGTTTGAGCCTTTGTGCTAATATTCATTTCTATCTCACTATTTTTTTTCTTTTAAAAGTACAAATACATTTTTTTTATCTGGAGTTCATCTCCATTTTTCTCCATGGTATAGTGTTTTTTTAAAGTTTTTTTTTGTCTGTGTCAAATGTAATTTTAGTAATGAAAGACTTTTCAGAGTTTACTTTGGTGCCAACAGATCTGTCGCAACTTTTCTCCTTTTCAGAGCTTTCCAAGAATGCACAGATTATGTTATGACTTTTTGTTTAATGCAACCCAAATCATAAAGAAGTATCCTCTTTAACCATCTCTAACAGCTCGAGTTTTCATTTGTTAATAAAAAACTGTGACAATTATTGTGAAAACTGGCAAGAAAGAGACGCTTACAAAAACAAAATATGTTTATTCATATTTCATTAAGGGTATCATACATTTTTGCATCAAAACAAACATAGGTTTGCAATTTTATGTGGCTCTGGATTAAATATGATAACCGCTTCCACTCTTAACAAGGTTTGTTGGTTAGAAAACAAGAAAAAAAGCTCACTTGCCCAAAGTAACTGATGAGAAAATGGTGTTTTAAAAAAAAAAAAAAAAAAAAAAAAAAAGGAAGACTGCCTTAAATGAAAACCAAATATACAAAGTTTTATCTGGCAGACTTATGATCTGAGAAGAGGTCAGGCATGTGTTGAGAAGCACTTTTTGGTTGAGCTTTGAGGCAATGTTTGATGGCCTTGCTGGTGATGAGCCCATAAATATGTCTGTGTGAACGGCTGTGCTTTAAAGGTTTTGTCTGTGTGTTGGAAGCAGTCTGTCTCTGTAAAAGAAGCAATGAATCGTTTATATGAGATGTTTTTGCAGCTTCTGTGTGTGTTAATAGTGTTTAACATATATTTGTGCTCAGAAGGAGAAGTATTTGGTGAACCACTCCTGCTTCAGCCCTTCTGTCCCCCTCTGCTCCAGGTATGGGCCTCTGAAAGACACAAAAACTTTCATTGTGTTTTTCAATAAAAAAAAAATAGAAAAGTGCAAAGAAATGCAGCATGGAACCTTATAAATGAATATTTTCCTTATTTCTAAACACTTTATTTTAAAACCTTATGTGCATATTAATGGTGGACAAAAGTTTTCATAAGACCGCACATTAAAAAAGGTTTATAATAAAGTGGTTAGAGAAGGCTAGCAGTTCATAGTGTAATTTTGCAATAACTAATGTGCAACCACTACTTAATACCCTGTGCAAAAACCTGATTTATATTTTATATATAATACCCAGTGCAACAACTACATATTTAAAAACCCATTATTATCCTGTGCAATAACCCTGTATAACAATCCTGTTAAATAAGAGACTTCAGCTGTTATATACACGTATCTATATAGATATATATGGACACACTGTATATACCCCCCATGCACCTTTTCCTCCTTTTTTTCGCACCTTCTTCTTTTTGACTATTGAACCGATGTAACAAGTACATTTCTCCACTGTGAGATCAATAAAGTCAATCAATCATAGTGATACCAATAAGGCTCAAACAGGGCAGTCATGATGGAAAACCTCTGATTGACTTAGGAAAAATGAAGGGTTTAGAGTTGTTGTCAAAATAACAGACATGCAATCATTCTGGTCTATAGAAGAGCGAAAGGTAGCTCTCCACCCTACTGTTTTACAACTGAATAAAAATAAACTGCAGATTTTAAGAATTTTATTTATTTTCGATAAAAATAATGTTTAAACCATGTATCATTTCCCTTAAGCTTAACCGTGATGCTCTACTCGCTGCAACAGGGATTCCCATAGTTGGGTCCCAGACCCTCTAGGGGCGTTAGACATCATGTTGGGGCTTAAGCTTAAGAGGTTAGAGGTTAGGACCAAAAGGGACAGGATTATATAAATACATCATAAAAATAATTAAATGTACCATTCAATTTCCAATTAAATAATGAAACTTTTTACATCATTAAACTGAATTGGCAAATTCATGATTTCTGAAAAGAAAGTCATGTAAAAATACACAACTATTTTCACTTTTGTTAATATATTTTGTGAGAAATAATGTTAAATTATTTCACACAATCTGGCAGTAGCCAGATTGATATGTGTAGAACTGATTTCTACTTTATCAATCTGGGATGACAGCCTTTCAGTCTGTCCATGAAAAGGAGGGACGTTTATAGTACAATACTTTGAGCTGATTGGGTGACGTACCAGATAGTACCCGCCTTCCACAATACGCTTTCAGTCAATCGCAGCTTCTTGAGTGCTTTTGGCTTACTGAAGGTTTCATGGATACAAGAGACCAACTGATTGATCAGATTTTCTGTTTTAAGACATCATTTCAATTTTGTATTGACAGCATACTTCCAGAGCTTCCTCGCAGGATGCGAAGATATATATAGATAGATATATCTATATATATATATATATATATATATATATATATATATATATATATATATATATATATATATATATATATATATATATATATATATATATATATGAAGGTCAATTCTAAAGGGGCGGATGTCGAAAATGAGAATAAAATATAACATAGGTAACCTGCAGTAGGGTTTTAACTTCTTCTGTCTTGTAAGTTCCCACTGCTTCAACATAAAGCTCTGAAGTAATCCTTCACTTTCAGAGACAGGTTATTTTGGGCTTGTCAAGGGCAAAAGGAGTCATTGCACATCCCTGAATCCCAAATGCTGGGATTAAAATTGATGTTCTGCTTTTTGTGATTGGATCAGCTTTGCACACAAAGCTGTTTTCATCACTTCATTTTTAACTCTGATTTGTTAAGCTCAAAGTGTTTAGTGACTGTTTGTCACTAATGTCAAAGTCTATTTATAAATTATTGATCATTAAAAGAGCTTTAAAATAAAATAATTAATTATCTAGTGACCTTATATATAAACTAATATGTTGAAGCCAACCAAATTTGAATAATATTCAGAACTTTGAAACATACATAAAATATGATCTCTGAAGTCTCTTGGCTGCTTTTAAAGCCTGCTACTGGCTGGTTGATGGGAAATTAGTATTCCTTGTAGCTGCAGCAGTTTTGAGCTGTTAGATTTGTGTGCTAACAAGAACCTGAAAGAGGTTCTGGTTCCTCAGCCAGAGATCATCCTCACAAGATTCTGTTTTTGCTTTGCATTGTTTATCAATTTTCTGGGCAAAATCATGCAAATGTTTTTGGATTTTTTGTCTCCTCCGTACATGTCTAGTGTCACCTGATTCTGAATCCAAAGGGAAAAGAATAGCAAGACATAAAGCAGATCCTACAGCCCACTACAATTGTTTATCTATGCTATTTTATTCTTATTTCTCACCATCTTGGTGTTTTAGTTTTCTTCTGCAGTGTAAAATATTTCAAGATAACAAGTCAATCCAATAAGTGGAACACAAAATAGGTACCATTTTTTTCCTATTTTGCAGGGGTTACCCTAAAGCACTTTTCTTCATCCTCTGAGAGCGTCCTAACTTTTGATTAAAGTTAAGTTACAGTTCAGGTTCTAATTCGTATAACTTCTCCTTTAAAGGAAATTCAGTTTAACAATACATCCTTGAGATTAAAGATGGGGGATGATTTCGATCTTTAGTCCCACTGCAAGAAAAAATGTCAAAGAAAATGAAAAAATAATTGGTAATGATTAGTGATAGGATTTTATCTCTTTATTTCAGTGTAATTAAAAATAAATATAATCCTTAATGATTTCTGTTTTTTATCATATTTTTGATTGATACTAATTAAATTAGGGCTGAAACAATTAATCTGATTAATCGATTATTTAAATAATTGTCCACTAATTTGGTAATCAGTTAATCATTAACTGGAGTATAGTGACTCTAAACCAGGCCCTTAGCTGACAGAGCAACCCACTTAGAGCAGTAATTACACCAAAATTGTGAAAAAATATATAAACATTTTTCATTTAAGATAAAAAAAAATGTATTTGTCTGTCAATATGCTCTATCCAGACCTCCAAAAGTGGAAAAGTTTAAGTTCTTCTTTAAGGAATCTTTGTTTTTTCTATTATTAATCGAAAAAATAATGGACAGATTAATCGATTCCCAAAATACTCTTTAGCTGCAGCCCTAAATAAAATCTTAATGTAAAATATAGACAGAATCGTTTTGCTTCTTCAAATTAGTAATATAGATCTGTTCAGAGGGAGGAAAGAGGTCAGTGTTTATTCTATAACGTAATTAAAAGTGCAACAATCTTTGCCCTGTTACAGACTACTTGGTTTTACTCATTCCTGTCACTCCTCAAGATTTTAGGTGATCAAATTTTAGAGTTCTTCAAAGACAATCTAAATTACTACAAAAATAAGTCTTCAAACTTCTCATTTTTATAAATGAAGATAAAAAAGCTATTTAACTCCCTAACTTGGCCCTCTATGAGGAGGTAACTGTCTGAGTAATCTGACATTTCAGAAAGACAACCTTAAATTTATTGGTGGTACTGTGATGATCGTGACTGCTTTGCTGCTTCAGAACCATACATTCTGCTCTGGACCAGAAAAGTTACTCAGCAGGACAAACATCCAAAGAACAAGAGGAAGTCCTGCTCTGAATGGGTTAAAAAAGGGGATGGTTCTGTCAGTCAAATATTAGACTTAAAAGTGATGAAGGCGCTGTGGCATGACCATAAATTGTGAAAAAAATTAAACAATAGTTTACTTAAAAAGAGAGGGAAGTAATTCCTCCAAAGTTATTGCCATGGTTCATGACAGGTACACAACCAGTCATTAAAGGTGTAGTGGATAATGTTCTTTTTCTGGGTGGATCATCAAAATAAGTGGTCTTCCTAATCGTCAATCATTCTGGTCATATGTTTACATAAGCCCGTTCTATGCGCTCGTCCCTATTTTCACTTAGTGGTGGAGAGTCAGACATAGTGAAAAATTTGTAAAACCTTCTTTTGGAAAGTAAGCTTGTATAGCGATGCAAACAGCCACTTTTAAACAGAGCGTGCACGAGGAGAAATGGTTTCTTGCATGCGTTTAATAGACGTAGGAACAGAGTTGTGCATGTGCATTTTCATTTTAATTGTAGAGGGCGGGTCTTTTCTAAAATTTGTGGAAATCCTCCACTATACCTTTAACTTTAGGGCGCTATTACTTTTTGCATATGGGGACAGGTTGGTGTGTATAGCCTTTTTTAATAAGCGGCTTAAAAAATGTATTTTTTTGTGCTGGTGGACTATTTTCTGTTAATATGTTTAATTGAAAAAAAGAGTTAAATAGCTAGGCTACATTCCTTATCCTCACCAGACTGTTGCAACATTAATAAACTCTGTTAGAAGCTCTAGCTGCTCCATGAAAGTTCAAATAATATTCTGTATAGAAAATGCTAACATGTGATGAGAGGAGGGATTTTCATGCAGCACTAAGCTCTCACAGATGAGCTCATTCCTGTTGTTTACCTAGTCGAGGTTTTAATTTGAAGCAGCTCGTTTTTTTACATCTGAAGGCCTGAGGTTAAGAGAGAAAACTAGAGCAGCACCTCAGGGAAACCGCAAGAACCAGGGCAGAACTTCTCAGAACCTCTCTTGTTAACCTGTCATTATACTGCTGTGGTTATTACAATGTCAAAAGCCTTCAGAAGGAAATGATGCACATTTTAAAAAGGCGTCAAATAAAATTTCAAAGAGAAACTGCAGCATGTTTAGAGGGACACTTTATAGGAGACCACATTGTTTACATCAGTAAATATGGGGTAAATAATCGAAAACAAGTTTTTGTTCAGAACATTTTTTTGTGACTTTGATCGTAGAGAAACATCAAAGCTATGTGTGTTTAAATATCATACCTGATTGACTGGGTCTGCATGTGCCAGTGTGCCTCATGGCAGGAGGGGGACACGTATCGGATACCCGTCTGAGATGAGGGGCAGACGGGCAGAGGAGCGGTCGGCGCCGGGGTGGGAGGGATGCAGGATGTCCGGGATCTGGGGGAGCGAGGGAGGGACGGGGAGGAATGTTGGCCTAGGGAGAGGGAGGTGTGCTTGTGTGGAAGAGAGGAGGTGGAGTAGTGGGGAGAGACGTGAGAATGGGAGCTGGACTGGTGGGGAAGGGTTGAGGAAGAGTGTGGATTCGTGGAGGAGGAAGACGAGGAAGAGGAATGGGAAAGGAAGATGCTCCTGTCATAGGCAGCGTTGCTGGGGATGCTGGTGGTGCGAGGAGGAGACTCCACATCCTTTCTCTGTCAGAGAAACACAATTACAAACCGCAGAGGGATTTAATGCTCCCTGCTGACGATTATAAGAAAAAACACAAATACCCCGAAGCGAGGAAGTTGCTTTGATCTGTATCCTAGCAATTATTCTGCAATGCCAGACCCCTTAAAACATGTCATATTTATCTTGTTCTCCCATTATGTAACAAAGTTGTTCATGGTTGGGAAGTTAAATCGTTCCTTTGCAAAATATCGTAAGCTCAGATTGGAAATCGATAGAGTGATCATTGCTTTCATCTTACCTCAAGTTCTTAAAGAGATTTTAATCTGTACAGATTACTCCAACTGAGCGTAGGATTCGTTCAGCTCCTCCAGGGTCACCATGGGTGTCTGGGCTTTCTCCTGAATTAATGGTTTCCAATTCTGCCACACTCCTGTCATTTTCCATATTTCTCTCCCCCTCCTAAGTTAATTTTCCATATTTCCATATTATAGAGTACGCTACACACCTCTGATCTATACGATGCTGTTTATTTGCCAATATTTTTTAACAAACCTCCAAAGCCTTCACAGAGCAGCTGCATTTAGATTAAGATTAATAGACACACAGTAACACTCTTTACTAATCAGGAACTTCTCAAATCAGTCGTTTAAGTAAAAGAAGAGGATAAAATCAAATACATGTCAAGCCATTTTTTAATCTTGATATACTATATATACCTTGATATACTATATATATATATATATATATATATTGTTTATTCTTAATGCACCTTTTTCCTCCTTGTTTGCACCTTCTTTAATTACTATGCCAATATGTGACCAGTAAATTTCTCCGCTGTGAGATCAATAAAGCTAATCTAATCTAATCTAATCTTAAAATGACCTAAAATGTGTAAAAAAATTTTCCTCTGTTTCAAATGTATTAGTTATGTTGATATTTTGCATAAAAATGCCTTTAAAATGACATACGGGTTGTGACTTTTTAATTGTGAGGCTCAGTCAGCCTCAATATTAAAATGAATCCTTAGGAGGCTAAACCTCCCCTGTAAAATGTGTCTGATTTCATGTTTACATTGCGCATTATTCAGATGTTTATTCAGCTCTCAGACGCGATCTCCCCTCCACTCTGGATCAGTAAGACGCTGCCTGTCAGCCTCTATGAGAAAACCCCTGTTGAGGTTTGAGCCTCGGTCTATTGAGGTAAGCAGCGACAAAGTGGAGCCCTGATTGGATAACACGCCAAAAGACATCACTTCCAGTGAGGCTAAATCTCCTAGAGGTCTATGGAGCAGGGGCGGGTCATGAAGCTGGCTGCTTGATGCTGATTGGCCTACATACGTAAGGATTTTTGACCGACCGTGGCCAGACAGCGAGGAGGTTTTCCTCAGGTGTCGAGAGGGAAAGCGATCATTCAGTCAGAACAGTAATCCTGTGCTGTGGTTTTTGGGGTTTATTGTTTCAGAGCGCCTCACAGCAGCTATTTACACCATTTGTAGTGATGTGTTTTACGTGTTCCAACATTTGTTAATGCAATACGTGACGTTTGGATTTAATTAACATCATTGAGACTGAACTTTTCCAGAGAGCAGCAGGTTCTTAGATAGTATGTTTTTTCCATAGTAGCTTAGTAGTTATTCCAAGTGTATAGAGTAAATATTGTTTTTCACCTCATCAATAGAAATGCTCCATGCACAGAACTGTATTGATAGATTAAAGGCGATGTTAGTAAAATGAGCTTAATGGAGTCCTCAGACTGCATCACCATATCTTTACAGTGAGCAGTAAGCTGTTAACTCCACCATCTCAACAAAAAACACAATCTGGCCTCAGTTCAGAAAACCCTCCTCTGTGAAAGGAGGCTGTTTTCCAACGACTTTAAACACACATTTCAAACCGCCCGACTCACCCTCATGGTCGGCGTGACGCTCCCGGGGCGGGACTTGCTGTCACGGAGCCTGGGGCTGCTGTTGTCCCCGGCAACGGTAGGGTGGAGCTGCAGCTGATGCCTCTCTTCCTGCGGGGAAGGAGGATGAGGAAGGACTTTGACTGGCCTAATTCACCATCAGTCTGGTTTGATTTTTTATTTTGTGTTGTGTGTGGAGGGTGTGAGGCTCTGCCTCATGCCATACAGGAATCTCACACAGCACCATGTTAGAGGACACTTAGATGAAATGTCTCTTTCTCCACAAATGACCTCACAAAATGAACGACGATTAATATGCGAGCATTTGAGGGATTATTTAAACACATTGAAGTGGGAAAAGTTAATTCTGAAACATTATTATTTTGTGTATTAATGATCTTTGGTGTCCTTCGTTACCTAATAGTTACATAGGTATTTTTGTATTTTTAGTAAATTAAAGGAAAAAAAAAGGATCTGAAACAGGAAAATAATTTTGAAAGTAAAATAAATATATAGGAGAGAATACATTTTCATACTGATGAGAAAAACTGATGTTATTTTAGACTGAAGAAAAAGTTTTGAGAGAAAACTATTTTTTCATAGAATAATTATGAGATAAATTAACATTTTTATTTTTTTCTCTCCAATATATTCATTTTACTTTTAATATTATTTTCCCCTTTCAATTGATTATTCTTGAATTTAATAAAAACACAAAAATAACTTCATAAGATTTGACACAAAAACATGCCTAACTTTAAAAAAAAACAAAAAAAACAACCCAGTTTAGTCATGAAGCAACTGATGGGCAGAACATCTTCTTAGTGAGGTCTCTTTTATTAGGTGCTTTTATGTTGACTCATTATTAACCATAATGGAGATGTCCTTATTTGAGTGTGCTAAGTACCCATTGTGTCAGATGGGCCCATTTTACTTCTGTGTGAGAGGCTGGGAAAAACATAATATAAATGGTGCATCATTCTTTTTATATAACAAAGAAAAGCTGCTGTAATGACCGCACCAGTCACATGTCTGCTGGGCTGGTGAACAGCTGTTATTGAGAGAAATAGTAATGCTTCTCTTCTCGAAACTTGGAAACAAGAATTATCTGCACAAGATTAGCTAAAAGTGCATTAACATATGCAATGATATCAACAAGTCATATCAAAACAGTCAACATGCTAATATTAGCCTAGCGAACTACGGCTGCATCTGTCGAGAAAATAGCAATATCTTCTAAGATCAGTATAAAGCTGTATGCAGTTTAAGTGATAAAGGCACCTTAGGGCAGCTTTCTGATTGGACTGTGTAAAGGTGACCAGTGAGACTCCTACTGGGTCCTACTGGTATAATCAATGATTTCTATTTATTCACTGGAGTCACCTGCCGCCATCTTGGTACTCCCCACTCTCACGTAGTCGCGCCATAAAAATGCCTGTGATGTAATGTAATTACCATAACAATGTAATCAATACATGTATATTGCATGTACATCCTCAATTTAGCACTTATGGCACATCATTAGATAGTAAATGGTACATGAACTGTACTTATATAATACTTTTTCAAGTCAGAGGACTTCACCAAGGTGCTTTACACTACATTCAGTCCTTCAGTCATTCACACACACAATGATGGTGGCAAACTACATTGTAGCAACAGTTGCCCAGTGTCTTGCCCAAGGACACAACGACACTAAAAGCCGGAGCCGAGGCTTGAACCGACAGCCTTCTGATTGCAGGGCAAACGCCTGCACCCAACACCACCGTCACCAATATAGTGTCGCCAAAATAGTGTGCGTGTGTACTATTCTTAATATCTGGCTACAGTATTATTATGCACCATTAACACACTAATTTTGTTGTGGGGGATTTGTATAACATGTTATATTACACGATTTATTGACTCATTGACTTAACACAGAATATGGAATGTGATAACTTTATCTTTAAAGTCTTCAGCCCCGTGAAAATGAGAACATCATCGTTGTTTGATGCTGTGGTAGATGTACTGTTTACATTCCGACCGGTCTAACTAGGGAGTACTAATATGGCACCAACAGCCTATCAGCAATCCAGTGAATAAATAGAGATCAGTGGTCATAATATCTGATGCAGCCTTCATAAGGTCACCGATGAGGCAACCCAATCATAATAGTAACCTAGATTATTTTACAGCACTGCTCAGTTTTTATGCATAAACATTTACTGACTTTATTTGGGTCTGCATCTGCTAATGTTTCACATCGAATGGCTCAGACTGATTGGGACTTCTAAACCACTGCACTGCAAAAACAATCTAGAAATAACTCAACATTTCTTAAATTAAGTGTATTTACCCTTATTTTCAGTAGGTAAATAAAAATTATTTGTCAATAGAATGAGTATTTTTACTCCTAAAATAAGATAATAAGATAATATACAATGGAAATAAGACAATGCAATTGTTTTTCCCCATTCTAAATGTAAATTGTCTTGTTCCATTAGCAAAGTGTCTCACTTAGCTCCTCAATGCAAGAAGAACTGCACCTTTTTTAAGAAAAAAGTGACTTATTTAGATTTTGATTTTTTTTCCAGTATGATTTTTTTTTTAACATTATGATAGAACAGAGCATACTGGGTTTGCTCCTAAAGAACACAAACTGTAGCTTTAATATAGAGTGGAAAGAATGAATAGAAATAGAAGAAGATCAGAGGGTATATTTGTTTCTGTCTTGGTTAAAGAAACACTTTCCTAATTGAAAAGCAAAGCAATCCCTGTCTACAGAAATAATAAACATGATTTGAATTTATTTTCTAAAAAGTCTTGCAGTCTGCAGAACTTCATTAACTTCATTTAGCATAAGGATAACTTTTAAATAATTCATAAGACTATTTTTTGCAGCTGTTATTGCCAATGTCTGGTGTTTTCAATATAAAAATCAAGCAAAATAATTAAGGCTATTCTCAGCTTTATGGAATAAGTTCTGATTGAATCACTTTTTGGTGATATTGTACTACCGGTATTTTCTTTCCTGCAGAAAACTTGTTCCTCTAAAAGGTTTGTACAATCTCTGAATTGTGGGAGAAATTATTTTAGACTGGAATTCTATTCATGGCTGGTCTACATTAAGATCTATTTATGTGCATATTTCTGGACTTAAACTGATACAGATAAAAAACAGGATAGTATATAAAGAAGCTGCCTTGTAACGGAGCAAAGGTGGTTGTGTTCATGTTTATCTTCTCACCACTAATCTTTTAATGAGCTGATCTCTCTCCATCAGCCTCTCCTGGAGTCTCCCAAGTGACAGATCATCACATCGAGGCTCCCTCCTCCTGCAGCGCTCCTCCCGCTCTCGCAGTCTGCAGGTAAACAATAAAGAGAAAAAAAACCTTTTCTCCCCCTCCCGAACAAAATGTTCTCATTTCAAAAAGCTCTTTTTCTCTACTCACTCATTCTCCAATGCCACTATGCGAGCCTGCAGGTGGTTCTGTGCGCTGCTGTACTCAGAAACCAAACTCTGCATCTCCCTCTTGTGCTCCCTCCTGATCTCCTCCACCTCCTCTCTTCTCTTCTCCTCCTCTCTCTCTTTCTTCTTTTCCTCATCCACCTCTTCTTCTTTCAGGTCATCCTCTTTCTTATCCTCCCAGTGTTTTTGGGACTCCTCCAGTTTCTCCATTTCCACCCTCAGTTTCTCCACCTCCTCCTTCAGACGTTGTGCTTCATCCTCCAGTTGAGCGTCTCTGTTCTTCCCCACATCTGTGATCTCCTCTTCTTTCTCTTCAACCTCTGAATTCTTCTTAACAGACCTACGAAGAAGTGTAACATCCAGAATAAGAATTAAATTTGTTTGTTGCTTTCAAAAGTCACCTAAAAAGTAAAAATATTCAACTAGTGTGGATGTTAGGTTGTAAAAAAAAAAATCCCTTTTTTTGAGAATCTGCAAAAATGAAAACTGCCTAAATTAAGCTGTCCACCTAAACTGATCAGCCGGGTCAGAGAAGCAGCCAAGAGGCCCACAGTTACCCTGAAGAAGCTGCTGAGATTCAAACCTCAGGGAGGAGAATCTGTTTATATGAACACTAGCAGTCATTCCTTCCATATAGCTTTAAGATGGAAAAGCCGTTTCCAGTTGGCCATAACTCCTGTAGGCCGTGCAGAAAAGCAGTTCCTATGAGAGGTAGAAAACTGACCGCCACCATGTTCAAACATGGTACAGTATTGGAAGCATTATGCTGTAGTGATGGGAAAGTAGGTGAATCTCAACTAAGTTCTTATTCCAGATAAATTCTGTGGAAAACCTGAGACTAAGGGGGAGATTAACCTTCCAGCAGCACGGTGTCCCTCAACATGCAGCTCAAATTAAACAGATTTTGATCAAAGCATTTTTATGTCTTCTTTTAGATTTCCTATCAGTTTCCTGAGTTACGTCATTCTAAAATGCATTAGTTTCCTTTTACTTCACAGTTAAGCACATTTCTGTGTTGTCTGCTACATTAAATCCCAATAAAACTGAATAAAAATGAAGTTTGATTTAATCTGTCAGAACGTGAATTAGTTTAAGCGGGGGATTCGTTTATGAGGGACCACAGCAGCAAAGGGGTGAAATTTATAATGGTAACGCTCATTTTAAGCTGGAAGCAACATTGTTTGTTTTGTATACACTCTGTGTACACAAAATGACAATAAAGTTTGCCTAAATCTAAGTTTTGAGACCCAAAGGTAGGAGAAAAATTATTAGAAATATATCAACGAAATACGAAAATATTGCATGAGGCCGATTGTTCTACAAAAGTCCTTTTGATCATCGTACCGTTCCTGCAGTTGCTTTTTCAGCGCCCTGTTTTCTCTCTGAAGCTCAAGCATGGCACAGCGACTCTCGTCCAGCTGTCGTTCAAAGACTTGGTACTGGTTTTGCTGCTTCAGGTCCTTCACACATTCAGAGACAAAGCAGAAAAAAAGAGGAGGTAAAATAAACTTTCAGTGTTCGCATCAGATTCAGATTTCTGTTTTTAATACAGTCAGTTCTGCTGCACTGAGCAACGTGCTGTGATGGCTCAATCCCACAGCCCTGGAGGGTTTTATTGATGTGGAAAAACAAAAAGATAATGACATCAGGTGTGAGCTGCTGTGATTTGGCTCAGTGTGCACACAGAGGGAGAATAAATCGGCAGGGCGCAGCCACTGAATCATGGATAAAGAGAGCGCGCGTGTCTGCGCACACGGTGGGGTTAATATTTGCCGCTGCGTGCGACACCTGTTGGAGAGCCATCATCTGCGTGTGTGCTTGTAGTTGGGCCTGTAGGTCCTCTATCTGCTGCATATGTCTCTGGGTCATCTGTCGGCTCCATTCGGTGTGCTGCTGGTTTAGCTCTGCCCGCTGCTTGTCTGATTTTATGCAAGAACAAAAACACAGACAGAAAAAATAAATTTTCACCAACTTTCAACCACACCCCTTCCTCCTGCTGCTGCTGCTCTGATTCTTGCTGTGTAAACTCGTTTGCTTAGCTCGTTTGTGCAAAATTTCAGCCAAGGTTACCGAGCTCCAGGTGGTGCATCGTCTGAAGCCGGTTGATCTCAGACAGAAGATCTTCCTTCGCCTGCCTCTCCAGTGCCTGCAGCGCCATGGCGTGACTGTGTCTCTCCTCTGCCAAGGACTGGCTCTGAGGCTCCTTTGACAATAACACACATATTTGTCTTTTTATCTTACAATGGCTTCATTCTTCCAGTCTGCAAGACCAACTTGCTCTATTCATCTTGCTTTCCACTGCAACACTTGCATCAAAGCCGCTAAATTATTCATCACAGAGAAAATCTATGAAGCGGTGTGCACCTACAGTAGGACGTCTTAGTGTGCATGCACACTCTGTTTGTCTGTGTGCTCCTGCAAACCTGCAGCAGCTCCCTCAGTTTCTTGTTTATCTCCTTGGTGTCTTGGACCTCCTTCCTCAGCTTGTCAATTTCAGGGTTGGCATGGCTGTCATCTCCCTGTCCCGCCGTCTTTTTCTCCGCCTGCATCTGTGACAGAGCACAAGGTGAACTATTTTAAGGCTCTCAGCCTGCTGCCTGAGAGGAATTTGTAGCAAAAATGTGACCTATTGCTCTAGAATAGACTGACATGGTTGATCCAAAGGAAACACAAATCTGCTTGCAAAAAAGGTAGAATTTTGGTAACAGTTAAAGGTATAGTGGAGGATTTTCGCGAATTTTTAAAATACCTGCCGTCTCCACTTTAGAGAACAATTGTACATGCACAACCCTGTACCCGCTCCTGAGAGGGAATGCCTATTAAATGCCTACGAGAGCGTGCACAAGCCCATTTCTCCTGGTGCACGCTCTGTTTAAAAGTTGCTGTTTGCATCGCTTATACAAGCTTACTTTCCAAAAGCTGATTTGAATTTGTTCCACTGTCAGACTCACCACCGGTAAGAGAAAATGGGGATGAGTACATAGGACGGCCTTACGTAAACATATCACTAGAATGATTGACAATTAGGAGGACCACTTATTTAGATGATCCACCCGGAAAAAGAACATCCTCCACTGTACCTTTAAGATAAGTTTAACAAAAGTGTACATATGTGCAAATCAAATTCCATGTAACTTATAGCTTAGTAATAATAATTATGGGGGAAAGTGGGCTTACCTTTGCTTGCAGGTCTGCCAGCTGATCCTGCAGCTCAGTTACCTGGGTCTGCAGCTCCTGCTCTCTGCCCTGCCACCTCTGTTCACTCTCAGCAACCGCTGCGTTCATCTCTATCCTAAACTCTGCTCTGAGACGATCTTCGCACTCTGCCCTGTGTGAGCCAATCAGAACGAGGCAGATTTATAGGTAATGGAAAAACGGGAACTTTTTTCACTTTTCCACAAGTAACAAAAACACATTTCCCTTTATTTTATTTGCGTTTTATTTGATAGGATTTTTCCAACAACTCTTAAAAAGGTTATACTCCCTACTGAAGAAGAGCCTACCCACAGCCTCATGCTGCCATCACCATGGTTTGCTTTTTGTGCTTACTCAGCATATCTTTGTCTGATATGGAGATCGATTTAAATGAAACATTCAGTTATTCCAAAAGTAAAAAAAAAAGAAAAAGAAAAAACAGATTACTTTGAGGAGAATTTCTTTCCACAGGCTTGTGACAGAAATTATCTAGATTACAAATATCAGTTTAACATTATTACTACTTAATCACCTAATCACTGCTATAATAAAACACACACAAGCAGCAATAACATTCAGTTTATGACTTTAAATATGTACATAATTATTTTTATCATCTCTAAGAAAATATCATTTTTATTTATTATCTGAACTGGATTGAATGACTTTACACCTCAGGGGCCGCTATGCTAGACTGAGGTATATTGTATGTTACACACATCCCAAATTACTATATCCCTCCAATATCATCAAATCACTACTTGACAGCTTACTTTGATCCTTTTCTACCATTTTCCTATCGTTCATAATTTTCCCCTGAAAATTGTACATTTGTCAGGAGACAACAAATTAATGTTAATTCAAATAATGGATTCTGTGGAGGACATCATCACACTCCTATGCTTTGGTGAGAGGTTTGCCAGGATCTACCTGGAATATTTGACAAAGGGGGACAGCAGCGGAGAAGAAAGGCTGTTAAACAGTTAATCAAAAAACAATGAGGAATAAGATGCTAAAGATGCAGAAGCCATCTGTGTCACAGCTCAGGGAATGTTCATTTAAAATATAATATTGATTTATTCTTCACTTATGTAGCAACAGCACTTATTGACCAGCTTATATTTATTACTGCAGCGCTTCTCTTATACTCCTACAGCACACATTTAAACCTCATTGAGGTTGTGGGTTGGGCTTTAAAGGACAGTGAGGTCTTGGAGATGGCAGGTTTACTTTTGGGTCACTACCTGATGCGGTCCTCCATGTGCCGCTGGCTCTGCTCCAGAAGGCTCCTCTCTGTGTTCATCCGGCTCTGTTCCAGGGCCTTCTCCTCCAGCCTGTGCTTGTCAGCCCTCAGGGAGGCTATCTCTCTCTGCTGCCTGTCACGTTGCCTCTCTGCCTCCTCTTGAGCTCGAGCCAGCCGACTGCGAGCCTGACCGAGCTCCTCCTCCAGCCGGGAGCACCGAGGACCGCAAGACGCTGCAGCTTCACCTGCCACTTTTTCCTTCTCGCCGTTCTGTTGGATCGCAGCCTCCAACCTGTGAATCTGTAGCACAAGCAGGAAATCTCTGTCAGGTGCTGCATGTTCTTACACTTTCACTGCTGGTTAGTGACGTCTCACCTCCGCGTTGGTATCCTTCAGCTTTGTCCTCAGCTCATCTTTTTCTCTCTCCAGGCTTTTGCGTAGCTCTTCAGCAGCTTGTCTCTCCTCCTCCAAACGAGCACAAACCTTCAAGAATATTTGGCCACCATCAAAACCACTGCTACAACAATTACAGCCACAGTTTTTCATGTTAAGACCTAAAGATATTACTCCATGTCACTGGGATTTTAATCTGCTACGCTAAAAATAAAGAAATGAGAAAAGTTCGGAGAAATCAAAACATTAAAGCAACAAACCTTTGCAAATTTTGAGGTTAAGGGCTTTAATTTCAAAATAATATAAGTACGGGCCACTAAATTGATAAGGTTAAAGAAACTACCTTTGTTTTCTAAAATGACCTAAATTATTTTCCACATTATTCTCCACAACACTTAGTTTACCAACGTGAAACAATGGAATATGATTGTGACGCAATCAGCTCATAAAAACTTTTAATCAATCTGACAGTATTGCCTCTGTAAAGTCCCTTGCAATGACACATGTTGTGAATTGGCTCTATATAAATAAACTGAACTGAACTGATTTTAAAGATCAAGTAAAATAAAGGTCAGTGAAGGTGGTGGCAGCATCATGATGTGGGGAGAAAGCTGTTGAAAGCTAATAGGATGATGGATTCAGCTTAATGCGGGATAGCTGTAGTAAAAAATGAGAGGATGCAAAAGATTTTAAAATATCAAGAAAAGGGGGGAGGGGGTGTCTTAATTTTTTTTGCATAGAAAATTGGCTGAAGATAAAACCATATCTCTAGAGTCGCGAAGCTGGTAGGGAAACACCCCAAATAACTTTTACTGCAATGAAAGTTGTTTGAACAATTATTTCAGGGTCTGAATGCAAATTTATATTTGTAAAGACGTCTGAAAATCAAAATTTGATATTTTTCTAAATTGTTTCATGATGTAAACTGTCTTTCATACCACAATCATTTATCTAACCTTCTAAATTATAGGAGGAAATTAAAGAGCCATCATGTGAGTAAAAAAAAAAGAAAGCTCTTTTGCACAAATTTTGCACACATTTTGGAATATAAATACATATACCCTCAAAATAAAAAATGTATCTGTAAATCAAAGTTTCATCTGCCTCTTCACCTTCTGAGGCAGTGCTGTTCCTCAGAGTGCAGACAGCTGCACCATAGGATGAAAGGAGACATTAGTGCTCGTAGCATTTTGCTCCTTCATCCAAAATATTAACGTACCAAACCCGATCAGGCTGGAGCTAAAAAAAAAAACAGCCTTGAATATCTAGCCGAACTGCAGACTATTTTTAAAGTTTGGATTAAACTGCATAGAAAAATCATGCCCTCATTCTCAGCATAGCACAGTGGATGTCAAGAACATAACAGTCAGGATTACTAAAAGACTCAGGTGACGTTTTATGACTTTTAACCTGATTTATTCTGAAACACTGTAGGAGGTACTGTGCCTTTCTGAAGGATTCATTTTTCCTGCTCTGTCATTCAAAGATTAAACGAACGCATCAATGTTTGAGGTTAGAAGAAGACAAGATGTTACATAATGATTAATTACTAGAAATAAGCCTTTTCCTATGTGCGTGAAAGTAGGTGCTGACCTCTTGGTTGGTTCTCCTCTCTGAGCTCAGAGCTTCCTGGACGTTGTTCAGTTCCGCTGCATGCCTCCTCATCACCTCCTCTATCGCTTTCCGCACCTGCTCCTTCAGCCGCTTCCTGTCTTCCTCAGCCTTCTCCGCCAGTCTCTTCTTCTCTTCCTCCAGCTTCTGCTGCAGGTTGACTCTCTCCACCTCAACCTGCTCGATGGTCTTGTCCAGCTGAGAACGGACACGAACCCTCTCCACGTCTAGTTCTTTACGCAGTCTGTCCACCTCTTCATCTTTCTCTCTCCTCAGCCGTTCTGTGATCTCCTCCACTTGTTTTTGGAGCGCCTCCTTTTCCTCGTCTCTTTCTCTGCGGATTTTGCTTCGCTCCTTCTCAAACTGGTCTTTTTCTTGCTGACGCTCCTTCTGCAGGCTTGTCCTCTCCTTTTCCATCTCCTTCAGCAGTTTTTCCCTTTCATCGTCTGCGTGCTTCTGGATACGACGCAGCTCCTCAGTCTGGGCTCTCACCATCTCTGAGCGCAAACTGGACAGGGCTTCAGCATGCTGTAACAGTTTTATCATATCAGCATGTGACGGATGTATTCCAACTCAATGTTAGGAGCTGCTACATAACACAGCTTGCACTTTTCACAAGTTAAGAGGCTGTTTTCTAGAGAATGTTCTATAGTTAAAAAGGTGTTCTCCCAAACTATACCAGGTAATGAAATTTAAAGTTTTAAGTTAATGTAGTATCTGTTAAATTCTGTTAAGTACCTGATAGTTTCAAGACCTTACCAGGCTTTGCCTTCAAATAAAGGGGTTACTTTCTAGGAACTTACTGATCACTTCCATTAAAATTCCCCTTAAATTGATGTGGTTACCATAAATTAAACAAATCTAGGAAGTCAGAAATTGGTGAAAATTAAACAAATTCTAGTTGTTAATTTTTTGGGAGAAAAAAAAATCTGGTATTTTTCTTTAGGTTAATTCACCTGGTACTTTATCACTGTTCCATAGGATTGTGGTCATTCTGGAAAAGTAACCGGAAAAATGTGTAAAAGGAACGAGTTAATTCGTGGAAAAAGTCTGTGAATTGACTGGAAAAAATAATCTGTAAATCTATGGGCAAGTAACTGTTATGTTTATTCCTGGAACATAAAAGTTACTTGCCAATAATCAGCAAGTTTCTTGGCAAAAAATTGGTAAGTGAAAAGCAACTGGTAAGTATCTGAAAAAAGCATAGCTTTAAGGAGGGCATCTTGTAAGTTCTGTAACGTTCCAAGAAAGTTTTGAAAAGTGCCAGGAGAGCACAGACTGCGTTATGTAGAGCCACCAAACATGCCGTTTGTTTATAAGCGTATCACCTGGCGAATCTGACGGGCGTGGTCACTGTTTCTACCACTGCTCTGCAGCTCCAGCTCTCTGTTCCGGCTCTGCAGGCGGTTCACCTGGCTTCTCAGCTCCTCCAGCTCAGCACACACACACACCTCACAGCTCCCACGGTTCAGCAGCTCCTCTAACAGACACGCAAAAAAACACACAGTTAAACAACAGTATGCTCAGAATCATGGCAAATGAATTCAATTAAAGAGGCAAGGTGAACTGTTCAGCTTCCAGGAAGATGGCGAGAATTTGGAGCACTAGGTGGAGCACCTTCTACTAAATTAAAAAGAACATCCCAAATAAATCATATTTCAGAAAAACAAAAGCATTACAGCCTAGTAGATCTGAGTTATGAGAATGTATGAATTACTTGTTGAATAATTTTTTCCTCAAAGAGTAATGGATTTCCACATACTTTGTTACTTCTGCAAGAGGTCTGTCTTTGAACAGGATAGCTTGAAAAGTTATGGACTAATTTTAATGAAATTTGTACCAAAGGTGCAGCTCAATCCAAGGAACCATCTATTACATTTTGGTGACGATCCACATCATAATTCCGATGCAGGAATTTTTTAAATGACTATCTAACATAATTTGGTGCAGTCAATATTGGCAGCTTCAGCATCGGACTCAAATAGTCCAGAAGTATTATACTGAAGACAAAAATGCAGGAAAGGTGAGCCGTGCCTTAATCGAGGTCTCGGTCTACTGATCAAACAAGAAAGCCGAGTGAATATAGATGGTTAGGGCAGAACAGGCTTCAGACAAACACTGTGCATAATTTATAAACTTATGAATTTAAGGAAATTGTTACCAAAAGTGCACCTGATGCTAAGGAACAATTCATTAAAATTTGGTGATGATCCAAATCATGTGTGTTTTAGCTATAGGTGTAAGTCAGAATTTGCAGCTTGGCAGAGGTCTGCACTCTCTGAGAGCTTTACAGGTATTACTTTGAGTTAGGAATCAGTGTAGATAGTAAAAAAAATCAGAGCAACATACAAAAATCAAATATGTTACGGAGAGGCTTTAAAAAAAAAAAAGTGAAAAAGAAAGTAACTAAGTAGTGCAATTTGGACCTTTTCATGATATATTATTTGATGCCAATACTAGAAGGAGTTATACTAACAGAGAACCTCAACATCTAGGAGGCTGTCCTTGTTATTGCAGAGTGAATGATGGATGCCTTTATTGTGTTAGCCACATTATGACAGTATCTGCAGGAAGAGTTTAGATGCAGTTACATGTTCTTTAGGTTCCTTATATTTAATACTTAACTAACTGTATAGTATCACTTTACAAGAGATCTAGTGCTTATTTAGATGGTATAAAAAAATCTCACTTTCAGCTTAAGGGATGTAGTCAATAATGGCCTTGGATGCATTAACAACCTAAAAACACCAACAATTGTAAAATTTGGTGTTTTTAGGTTGTTAATGCATCCTAATTAATTCAAACTAATTTTAAAAAGCCTATTTTTACTAATAGCTTCTTAAGTTTGCTCTGGTAGGTCTTGGCCTCCACTTGCAGGCATAAGTCAACATGTATGAGGTTTGTAGACCCTGGAAAAATGAGATCTTCAACTAGAAAAATGGTCTCCAAAGAGACATGAAGAAAACAGCAAATGGATATCAACCCCAGAAACCCTGATCTCTACTCCACAGCCCACCATTAGCTCCGCCCCTTTTAGACAAGCAAACTGAACGACTACCTGCTCTGCTCTGCAGCTCGTCTTCCTGCAGCAGCAGCCTCTCCTTAGCGACGGCCAGCTCCTCCTCCGCCCGTTTAACCACTGCCTCCGCCTCCGACACCCGCTTCCGATCGAGCTCCAACTCCTCCTCCAGATCCTGGAGGGAGAGTTCAGAAGAGCAAGTGAAGATGGGGGAAAGAAAAGTAGCAGTTTTCAGAAGACAAACAAGATAGAAAAAGAGAAATGAGTAAAGAGAGGGAGTTTGAAAGCAAACATGACAAAGATGCAGAGTGGGTATTGGAAATGAGGGATAAAATGTGGTGAGTCAGGGAAGTGTCCTTCCCAGCAGTGAAGCTTTAATGGTCTGCTGTGAGCTTATGTCAGCTCCATGCCAGCTCTCCCTGGGCTTCTTAATGCTCGTGTGGGAGGTGGTAATGGTGGTGCTACAGCACATCTATCCTGCCCAAACTACTCATTAGCAGTTGGCATAGTGATTAGCATTAGGGGGGTTGGAAGTCCTCCATTTTAAACTTTCCTTTTTCACTCAGTCTAGTTCAGGATAACTGAGGGAAAGTTCCTGTTTCTGTGTGTACCTGTATCCTCTCCTGCAGCTTCACTGTGTTCCTTTTGCTTTCAGCCAGCCTCTCCAGATGGCCTTCCACCTCCGCTTCAGCCCGCTTCACTCTCTCCCGCAGAGCGCTGTGCATCCCCTTCTTCTCCTCCTCCTCCCTCTCCTCCCACCTCTGTCGTTCCTCTCTCCATTCTGACTCAATCGTCTTTCTCATCTGCTCTTTCTCCTCATTGAGGTCATACACTTTTTGCTCCCACTGCTCCCGCTCCTCTTTGACCGCTCGCCTCTTCTCCTCCTCTGCTCGCTCCTTCTCCTCCTTCAGGGCCTGCAGCTCCTCCAAAAGGGCTTTCATTCTTTCCAAGTCATCATGTTTCTCCGTTCTCCTCTCCTCTTCCAGTTTCTCTTTCTCCTCGTCCTGTCTTTCCCTCTCCTCTTGCTTTCTCCTTTTCTCCTCGTCAGCTGCTCTTTGGAGCTCCTCACATTTAGCAGTCAGTTCCACAATCTGCTCCCCGGCTTTCTCCAGCTCTTTGCTCAACCTCAGGCTCTCCTCCTGGGTGGCGCTGATCTCAGCCTTGGCCTCCAGGAGTCCTTCCTCTGCAGCCCGGAGCTTCATCTGAAACTCTTTCCTCAGCTCTGCCTCCGTTTCACGCTCCCTCTCCTCTGCCTGGATGCGGAAGAACTCGAAGTCTGCCTGAACCTGGAGAGTCAAAGGATGAAAGAGTAAAGAGAATGTTGCACACACATTTTGGGTGCTTCTAGCAAGAATGCATCAAAGCCTGAAAAATATCTTTGTATCTTTCATGGTGGAAGCATAATCTTACCTTGAACTTTTTTAAAAAGTCCAACCTTTAATCGAATAATATCACAAAACTAATCCCAGAAGGTCTCGGTGACAACCAGTATATATTATCTATGGGTTTAAATCCACTGAGACTTTAACTGGAACTGTTTCCTTTGTTCAGGTGGGACTGAAACCCATTGTTAAGTAAGGTGGAGGATCTGTGATGATGTGGGTCTGCTTTCCTTTCTAAAGCCCTGGAAACCTTGTTTGAATGCACAGCTAAATTAATTCTTTAAAATACCAGATTTTAGCAAATAAAAATCAGCAGCTCTAGGAGTTTTAGATTCAGCTTCTGCTTAAAATTGTGTGACTGAAATAAATAAAGTATTGGCTTTGCTCCTTCTCAAACTGGTCCTTCTAGTAATTCTCAAAAATGTTTTCAGCATGAAAAACTTGCCGACAAGAAAAAGTTGAATTTAGTGTGAGGATTTTTTCACATCTCTACCATCGTTTGTAAAACCAAACTGATATTATCTCACATAGAAACATTAAAGGGGAAACAGTTCTCCATTGAGAGAACTGGAAAAAAAAAACATGATACAAAGGAGGTACAGCTTAATCTTAAATGTTTACAATGTAAGAACTATAGAAACTGTGGATCAAGCAGCATGTGAACACTTTGAAACTGCCAGGCTGTTGCCATGAAGGCCAATTAGGAGCAATGTGGTGACATTCACGCTGTATTCATTATGTGGCAGAAGATCATTATCAGGAGGCACTGCTGAGACCAGGCAGGTTGCAGCCTCATTTTTCTTCCTTCCTTGGAAATCTAAATGTTCGAAAAATAGATAGTTTGGGGGGAAATGTAACTTTATACAAAATTATCTCAATTGGAATCAAAACAACTTAATTGATAATTACAGATAATACAGTGAATCAATAACATTAAATGTTTATACTCTATGTTTAAGTAAAAGTTCAAATGACTTAACAAGAGTGGGTGGTAATGGAGTGCCTGACAAAGTCAGAAACGTGTTCTATAATGAAATTCTATTTTAAGAAATCGAACAAGTTGTGCATTTTGTATGGAGACATTTTAAGTCAATATTTTACAGAACCATCGATCGCTTTGATTACAGCTTTGAGTATCTAGAGACTTTTCCTCATTCTTCTTAAAAGCAAGTAAAACTGGATAAGCCGTGTCTATGAAAATAAGCAATTAAATCTGGGCATGGAGTCATGGAGTCCCATCCATTTTCATGACTACTTTAAGACATGTAAATCAATTTATTATCCCACATTGTGGAAATTCACTCTCTGCATTTTGACCCATCCCCTTGGGGAGCAGTGGGCTGCCATTGTGTGGAAACGGGGAGCAGTGCGGGGTTAAGGGTCTTGCTCAGGGACCCAGAATGGAGACTTTGGGGATCAAACCAGGTACTTGAAACCTTTTAACAGCACAAGCGCACTGCTCTAACCACTAGGCCAACACTCCCCCACAAGAATGTGCTTTTATCCTCTCCAGTCTTCTAAAGGCTCAAACACTTTCCCTTTATTTAAACCAATAATTTCAGTCCTAACTTTGACCAGCTTCATTTTCCCTGCTGAAGAAAAGCTTTCTCACAGCATGATGCTGCCACCACCATTTATAATGATGATGATGATGTTGCAGCCAGGGTGAGGTACATTATTAGTTTTTCATCACACATGGGATTCTGCAAGTCCAGTGGCTCACCCGAGTGTGTGTACGTACTGTACCTAAAAGCATTTTTTTGTGATTTTGAAAATAAACCATGCAGACGATTTAATGACATGTTGTCCATAAATGACTTCAGTTCTGTATCTATACCATCAACCCAGACGTCCTCCACCAGAAGCAGGTGAAACTGTAAAGCAAAGCATCTTCAGCACTGGCGACTCCTGGAGTTGTGTTCTCCCTCCACTCATCTTTTCTCTTTACACAGGTTGCAGCACCTCAGCAGAGTCATCTGGGAAGTTTCTGAAGTTTGCACCATCACTGGCCAAAAATCTGCGTAAAAAAGTGGATCACCTGGTCCACTGGTGCAATCAGAAGCACCCAGAGTTTAAAGTGCCCAAGATAGTAGAGATGTAGAGTAGTAGACTAGAAGAATAGTAGACTCCCTGTGAGGACCTCTCTCAAGGCCTTCCCCAAACTATCCTCACAGTGCCTGCTGTGGATCCACAACGGCAGTGATTCCCAAGAGTCGGATTGTGTGTTGCAAAAAAAAAACCAAGTCAACTATTTTACACCTTAATTGCAATAACACTGTTATTTTAATCTTCCTTTGCATTAATCATAACCAGTTACGTGTTTGAATAAAGTGTCTCATTGTGTTCATGCCCTTGAACACTCTTTAGTCCATAGCCCTTTGCTGTGGGACTCTATTGTTGCATGGAAAAATGCTTAATTCCTGCAGACATACATGGATCTACATGCTAGTTGCAAGTCTTTCTTCCCTTCTATATGCTGGCAAACCAAATGTAAGCCATCTAAAGGGCTGGAGCGCGGAAATGTGTTGCTTACTCTGGTTAAATACAAGTTACAAGACTAAAAAAAATAAAAAATAGACTGTCTTTGCCATTTGGAAAATACAATTGTTCAAAGTGTGATTTATTGCAAATATATTTATTTTTTCACCTCTATGTAGGACTGTTGTTCAGACAAATGCCCATCAGAGACTTTACTTCCTGGAGCAGTTAAAAAAACAAAAAAACTCTTCCACAGGAGCAGCTGGTAATCTTTCATACAGTCATTAGAAGTCTGTTCCATGTGCAGACCCATTTTAGCACAAAGTTACTCTTGTTGGACAAATCATGGGAAAGTCATTCCACCACACACTTATGAAGTTTGGAAAAAAGATGGGAGAATAAAAATGACAGCATGACACACCTGAGCTCCAACTCGCTGCTGCTCATCCAAAGACTCCTGAAGCTCAAGGAGGCGGGTCCTTAATACCGAACCCTCCCCTTCGTGGCACGTCTCCATCAGTATACGGTGCAGCTCATCGTGGTGGGCGTGGCTTAAGGTCTGCAGGGCTGCTTCCTGCTCCTCGTTCCTCATGTTCAGAGAGTAAATCACCTGGAAAGAGTCAGAAAAAAAAAAAAAACACAAGAACAATTACACAACATAGACATATTTATACTAGGTTAGTTTAACAGCAATTAAGGGCAGGGATGGTCATGTATCAAAGATGTGGAAATATGTGGAACCTGGTATCGCTGAGGCCTGAGCAGGTCTGTAAGGGTAGCTATAGCCCAGTGCTCTGTGATAGCGCTTAAAAATAAAATCTTGATTTGTTTATACCAAATCTGGTTAATTGAATTTTTTCCTTCCTGGAGAAATATTTTTTTTTAAACTTGCTTTTATTTAAATCATCCCTTCTGAGATTTGACTTGAATCCAAAGTGCAACTCAGTCCAAGCTTTAAAACAGTCTTGTCAGACGGTTGGTAGACGCAGACAATATAAACACTTTAAAACAGAGAACACAAAATGTTTTCAGTTAGAAGAGTTACATAATGAGCTTATCTGTTTTCAACGTAGATCTAGGAACAAAAGAAACAAACTAATGTCAGACTGCGTTGTTGAAAAATTTCCAATTTTCAAAAGTTTAAATTGTTTTAAACAGCTTATTTGATTTAGATATAATCAATTTATCGCACAGCCTTGGTACACATCTTTAAGAAAAGTCACCTAATTTCCTTCTCATTATTGAAATTTTGGAATGACTCCATCTGCATATCACGGAGCCGTCTTCCTTGACCATTTTAAATCTATTTCAAGACTAATGGTTGGTTGATTTTATGTTTTCTATGATGAATGGTGTTTGGTCCTGTGGCTTTATTGCTATATAAATAAAGTTGGATTAGATTGGAAAATTACAATTACATGGCAGTTTTGGAAGCATTAATTTAACTCCCAGGAGTTAAAGTCAACACTTTTAAAGTGTCAATACTGGTCCCCAAAAGATCAAGTAAAATAAAAATGTTGAAAATGACAGTTAACACTGTGACAGAGTTGTATATCACTTTTATTAGTTGCAATACAACACTTATTAGACTGCATTTATCTAACACTTGTGTTTGGTCACAAAGCTGGCATTCAGACCAACAACTCTCTGGTTGCCAGGGAAACTTTTGCATCCTACACCACAAAGTGAGGTAGGGAATCTGGTAGAGACTCTGTTAAATATTGATTTTATATTTAATACTTAATAGAGTTGCTTGGATTTAACGTTGTAGATTAACACCAACTCTTTGGTTGGACCAAATTAGACTAAACTATTGTCGAATTGGCACTGTACTTTCAACATGCAACACAAACACTGGAAATGTAATAGATTTGATTTTGCTGTGAACTGTAGCATGTTAGCCCTCAGTTCTAAGAGCCGGTGAACTCAATCTATTTTTCTAAGAACACAGAAATACAATGGTTATAACCTCCATGTCAGCATAAAGGTAGGCTGGTGGTTTGGATCCTGCTGTGAATGCAGCTTTAGGCCTTCTTGTGAGCCTTGAGCTGATTTAGTATTTTTCAAAGCCCTTGAACAGCTTACTTTTTGATCAGTCCCGCACACCTATGACGAGACTTCTCTCCCAATATTAAAGCAGTGCTACAATTATGAAGTTTTCATCAATTAGTGGTGGAGGAAATTAGAGAATTCGAGTGCTAAATTTAATAGCACCAATGATTTCTTAAAACAATTCCACTAGCGTTGAACGATTTTGCCAAAAGTCAAATTTGAGATTATCGTTAACAAAAACTGGCACTTTCATTTGCAGTAAGCACAAGCATGTAGATGTTTCACTTAAGGGTTTAGCTTTTTTCATGGCCTTGAAAGCTTGCTTTTCCAGAGTCCTTTGTTGCAAGCCTTTACAACAACAATTGTTCGGATAAGTTCTTACTTCTTCATTAATGCATGGATCTGTGTGCTAGCTGCAACTCTCTCTTCTCATCTGTGTGGCAGCAAACCCACTTTCAGTGTCTAGAGGGAGAAATTTAGTGTCTTGCTCATGACAAATGTAACATGACTAAAATTGAATGCAATTTGAAAATTTAGTTTTTCTAAATTGCGATTATATTGCAAATGCAATTAATTTCCCTGTTTTAAACTCACCAATGGCTTTTGCCTTATAAGATGCTGTGTATAAAATACTTTGCTCTTCAACACCAGATGGAAGACTCTGGAAGACGCATCAAACTCAAGGCCTGTGGACCAAATCCGGAGGCTATGACAATTTATGGGCCTCATGAGTCTAAAAAAGCATTATCATGTCATCAGACAGACACTTAGATTACATAATACCAAACAGCTAAACTAAGTCATTCCAAGTTTGAAAATGATAAAATGTGTTTATGTCAGATACTACTATTTTTCAAATAATGTATTTTAATGTCTTTACAAATATATAGGTTCATCCATTCACACTTTCTTAGCAGCTCCAAACGATTTACTGCAACAAACGCTTCCTATTACCAGTACATAGCCCACAAACATAGATTATGAGATCAATGATTTTACTGGGGATCTTTAGAAAATAATAGACAGAATATTTTTATATTTCTCTTCAGAGGAAAACCAATAATAAAATAAGACAACTCAACATGGTTTAAGCAGTTTCCTTGACAAACTGCCTGTATCCATTGCTGACCTTGCCAGCCAGTACAGTTCAAGTTTACTTTGCATGCCTACATACTTATGCTGTCTCTCTCTCTTCCCTTAATAGAGTATCCATAGTGAATGAAATATACACTATTTTTCCCTATGATTCACTTTAACCTCTACGCAATGCCACCAGTGTCATCGTGTTCTCCCGGTGACCCTTACGTCTCACTTACCCACTCATAGAGGTGTGTGTGTGGACACATGGGTGTACGCAAGAGATACATGGGCTCATATTTTATCCAGACGCCTCTCTGTCTGCAGTGCACAGCTTGTGCAGCACTGCCAGACATTCTCCTGACTGTGTGGAAGAGTGGCATGTTTCCACGCTCTCTTGCACACACACAATCCCGCTTCCTCAACAGAGTCAAAAGCAATTATAATAATGTAATTTTCCTGTTATATGATGGTTTTATCACTCAGGCGGCTGCAGAGCATGTTGACTTATCTTTCTGTTGCTTTATTTGTGTGAAACTGTAGCTAAAAAATCATGCCTGTTGACACTCAGGAATAAAAGTAGGAACCCTCTCAAGGGGCAGGACATGGTCATCCTCAATGGATTAGATAAAGATAAACGCAATAATAATTATAATAAAAAGTTTTAAAAATGAAAGTTTGACAAAAGGTTTTACTAAAAAAAAAAAAATGTTTTCTCTTAATTAATATGTTGCTTAAATGGTCTGGAGTCTTCTGGGAGGGCTCTATTTTCAAAATATTCCTAATCCTGTTGCAGGGACTCTTTCTAATTGCGCCCCAAAAGGATCAGCTAGGTTACCCACTGATGCAGCCGCAGGGGTCACAGCTCTAAAAACCACTCAACCACTTGTTTAGCAGCAAACACTGAGGATCACTGCATGTATATTACATTTTCAAAAACGCCTTTCTCGCATCGCAGTTAAGTTGCTTGAAAACCAGATTTCCCACAGTGTCTACAGACATATTGACAGCAGTCTGTTAACTACACGCATACATTTCTTTTTAAGTTGTAATCATAGATCACAGCAGTAAACACCTCTTCTTAACATATAAGGTTTTTACAATGTTAAACGTTAAAACTAGGGCTGCAACTAATGATTATTTACAAATCGATAAATTCGTCGATTTTTTTTTTGATTAATCGACTAATAATCGAATAGCCAAAGGTTTCTTAAAGAAGACTATTTACGACAGTACACCAGGTAAAACTAAAACTTTTCCACACGAGGAATTCTGGATGGAGCATATTGGCAGACAAAAACATTTATCTCAAATGAAAAATGTGTATATATGTTTTTTTTTACAATTTTAATATAATTACTGCTCTAAGTGGAACCCATTTAGAGCAGTAATTATATCAGCTAAATGCACGTTTTAGAGTCGCTTTAGTTGTCAATTATTTCAATAATCGATTTATCACGATTAATCAGATTGTTTCAGACCTAGTTAAAACCATAATTAAACATTTTCAAAAATGTCCATGTTTAACGCTCTTTATTAACTAAAAAAATATATTTTAAGATTAGATGTTAACAGTTAGAAAGCTGACTGGGCTGTAAAAGCTTTACGTGTGTAAAGCTGATCAACTAACTATTGTAAACATAGATGTTATTATTATGATTTTTAGCTTTAACTCCATAGCTTCAAACCTTCATTCCTTTTAAAGAAAATAAAGACGGTAAGACAGAAAGTTGCAGGAATTATGTGGCGTTTTATAAGTGACAAGGCATCCTGTTCTCACCATGTCTGGACAAAGGAGGAAGGGGTGAACCATTGAAGTCCTTTATCTCAACTTAAACATCTTGACCTGATTAAAATATCCCTAAAGCAGAATGTGCAATATTGTGATAGAAAATGAGATATTTTGCCACATTTCTAAAAGGTTTAGATGATACTGACACAGTGCAGGAAATGATCCTAAAAACACATATCTCTATTGCTCCTGATGGAGCATGGTGGTAAAATAATCATGGTCAGGGTTCCTGTTCTTAAGTCAGAATCATTTTTGGGCTGTTTTTGTTGCAGAGATGAAAATATGAATAACTTATAATTTAAAACTTTATTATGATTTGACCCAAAATTTGAATGTTTCTGGGGAGAAACTGGAGTTTTACTTTTCAAGCATCAATTTTAATAAACAAAGAATGGCTTACTGAGAAAATCTTCAGAATTTTATCAGGAAATCTGGAGGGATGCGCATATAAATCAGAGTGGGAAAATATTGTCGCCTCAAAGGTTGGGATGTAAGTAGACTCTTTCAAAATAAGTCAACAGTTATTTTTTGCAAGTATTAGTTTCATTTTGCACACTTCAAACCAGTTTACTCCATAATTTCTGTTTGTTTTACAGTCCAATATATTTGTTAAGTTTAATTAAATTGGATAAATACTGCATTAAAAGTACATTGGCTTTTTCATAGCCGTGTGACGTCTTTTGAGAACC